TGGGCGTCTTTTTTGTTGTGTAAGTTTGTAAACATAATAACGAAATGTTGGTGTAAACCATATTGGCTTATTTTTGGATTTTAATCGAGATATTAAGAGGTAAAATTGGTAAAGGTTCTGGTTCTGTTGTATGTTGTCGTCCGAGGTCTAGAACGAAGTGAGCAATTTAAGCGGTGAAAGCCATCGTATATAACGGTGATAGAAAGCTTTACAAAATATTTAGGAAGAAGGAGCAAGAAGAATAATTAATTAAGAGCAAGAGAGAGTAAGTGCGCAAAAATAAGTGCTTGTTTGTAAATAGATAGAGAAGAGGGTGAACCAAACCCGATGTGTATTAAAAAAAAAACTTTGTAAAAAGTAAAGAAGAAAGATATGATAAATATTTTAACTTATATACGCATTGCATCTCTCAATTTTTATTGGACGGTTTCAAAGATAACAAAATGACTCATTTGAAGACTTTCCTGGTATAGTAAAAGGAAAAATCATTCCATTGGTGGCTTATTTGTTATCGTAATGGATGTGCGTGTGGGAGAGTAGATTAATGCTGGACAAATTATTCAGTTTTTTTATTTCATGGTAGCGGCATGTTTAACAAATTATAACTGGGAACCAGTGTGAGTCTAATTTTCGTTTATTGTTCTCGAGAAAACTAACCTTCAACATAATAGTACGTCTACCATTGACTGATATGAAGTACATAAGGCCTGTCTTTTACATTTTATTCCAATTTTTTTTTTGAAAGGAAAACTATTTAGTGTCTTGGCCAATCAAATTTACACAAATTAAAACTTCATGGTACGCAAAAATTTTTGCTCAAAAGGATGGCCACAAATTTAGCATTTCGTAAGTGAGGTTTTAGATCCATAAATGTAATACCTAATTCGCTCGCAAGTTGTCATTTCTCTTTTTGGTGTTTATAACATTTTGAGAAACGGGTCCAACAAAGACTTTATTTTGGCCTACCTAGGTATCGTTTTTGTTAGATTTGGCTCGTATATGTACAGATGACAGTAGCTTATGCTGACTGCTTGTTAGATGGTGCTTCCATATGACACTTCAATATGAAATGTAATTATTAGACGAATTACAAAGTAAGTATATAGTTTTTATTTGTATCATATCTATTTATATAAAAGTGATTTATGTTGCAAGCATTGTGATGTGGCTCACGTAGGTGCAATGGATCCCATGAACTACTCCTTAACGTGTAATGCTTAGTTCCCTTGCAGATCCAAACAGTCAGAATGATTATAAAATACCCACGGCATTAACGCTCTATTCAGCCATTGTAACCTGGTCTTATTTGATCATCAATAATCCTGTATTCCATCAATTATGTTATGCAATCTTGATCTTGGGTATCGTTTATCGATCCACTTTGCTGTATTACAAGATACCTGAAACAATAACCTATGAGCGTCCTCGCATGCAATCCTTATTGTGGTTATCTGCTTCTGGGTTCATTATTGCTTTTATTCTCTGGAATATTGATAATGAGTTTTGTGGACAACTAAGATCTTGGTGACATACTGTACCTTTGCTTTTAGGTGCTATAAGTGAAATAAGTCAATATTGAAAACCTAATAAGTTTCTTATCTATTTTTAGCTTCACGGATGGTAGCACATTAGTACAGGTAAGAAAAGAAAAAAGAGATAATACATGGATACTGATTTTGTTAATAGCTATTATTTTATCGTGTTTTGTGAATGGATTCAACCTACGCTGAACGGATCAAAACAGTATAGACTGTATTAGTTTGGACCTATTTGTTATTTAAGAACAACTAGCAGAAACAAAGTAGAATAAGTATATCTTTAACGTGACTCTAAAAATACCGTTTTTATTGCCCCTTTTCTTTCTTTTTTATTTTTTTTCCTTCTTTATTTGTTATGTTACGACACGGCAGAGTGCCTTCTTTGTCCTCTATCTCTAACTTTGATACGAGTTCGTTAGCTTCGTCTTCTGGTTCACCAAGGACCTCACCCATGAATTCACCCTATGTTTCACCAGGTGGTTCACCCAGAGAATCATTGAATAACCAATTTTCGAAAGGGAGGTCCCTTCAGCCGCCACCTTCCAACACACAAAATAAATCCAATTCAAGCAATACGTTTGTTCACAAGTTGTACAAGTAAGCCAAGCTGCTTATTATTATTTTGAGATTTTATTCCTTATCATATATAGCATGGTTGTAGATACTCAATACCAGCATTTGATTGCATGGAATTATACTGGCTCTTCTTTTATTGTGTGCAACATTATGGAGTTCTCAAGAGATGTCTTGCCCAAACATTTTAAGCATAACAACTTTAGTAGTTTTGTTAGACAACTGAACATGTAAGTATCATATATGTCATGCTGTACTTATAATAATGTAGGTATGGCTTCCACAAAGTCAATAAGTCGCCTCGAGGACATCGTACGCTGGCAGAAAACCAAATATGGGAGTTTTCGCATTCAAAATTTATCAAAGATAGACCAGACTTGTTGGACGAAATCAAGCGAAAATCAATTGAATCCGAGAATAACACCAGTCGGTTTCATCATCAGGGCGACATCAATTCACATATGGCAATGATGCAGGTCTCTCAATCAGAAATGGTGCAGCGATTAATGCAATTGCAGGACAATTTCTCTCAAGTAGTATGTGAATTACAAGAGACAAGGTCAAGACAGCAAAGACAGCACTATGTACTCAAGAATATGCTCGACTTTCTTTCCAAACAAGGTGCTCCATGTAAAGTAAATTAAAGAGAAACCTTAAATCAAATTTATTGAACCCATTTTATAGTACAAATGCCACCTGAATTTAATATGAACGGATTTGAGCAAACAAATACCAATGAAAGACCACCCTCCATATTCATTACTTCTCATGATACAATCGTACCTTCTCAATCGCAATATATGGCACAGCCTTCTCCTTCACCGCCTCTTCCTCCTCATTCCTCACAAACGTCACAACCACCACCGCCACAACAGCATCAACGCATGCCACCTCCTGCGCTTACAGTTCAAACGCATAATTTATCTTCTCAATTCAATTTGTCCCCAGCTATGAGTCCAATGGATCCAAATTCGCCTGCATTAAGTGCATATCATACAGCACTCAATACACCTGTGTCTCCTAGTCCAAGTCCATTTGTACCCGATGATGATATCCCAAGCCTTTATAGTCCACATAGCCCAATTACCCCCAATATGTTTCTAAATGAATACCAACAACAACAGCAACAACAACAACAACAAAATACATTTTATGCACAAATGCCTCAAAGTAATGAAAACTTACTTTTGATGGATCCTTCGGGTAACAACAATAATGCGTTTGTTTCTCTAGGTGTATAAATAAATAAAAAATAAATGCACTTTTGTACTTTTTTTTTTTTTTTTTTATTTCGTGATGTTGTTTACAAATAATTCCAGAAAACTTTTGGCTTGCCTTGTACTTATTTCTACAACAACATGGACAATTTGTTATCTATGGCTATTTTCAGCGGGAAGACCAACGAAAAAGTCTACCTGGACTTGTCGAAATTCTGGTAGAGGTCAAATTTGCGAGTTTACCAACTTGTGTCTTGATCGTTATCGAGATCCCTTTGTGATTTCAGATAAAGAACCACCTCGTGTCAATGTGATGAGTGCTGATGAATCTTCAGACATTTGGTTCCAACCTGCTCATTATACCAGCAGCAGCATAAAGACTCAGTATATCAATGAAACTGTCTTTGTCTATGGTCTTTACTCTCCACATCATTTCTCTCATATGTTATATAATGGGCTGATACCACTCTATAGTACAATGCAAGACTATGGCGCATCAGAGCAGTCCTGGACAATGCGTGCAGGCACATTTGATGATAAACATGCCAAACTCGATTTGTTGCTTCCTATTCAAGGTGACCATGATATTGTTCTCAAACAAGATTATGTGTCACTGCCTTCTTCTCAGCCCATCTGTTTCTCACGAGCTATTGTCGGCACAGGCAACCGATGCTCTCATCCCTATTGCGAAAACCAAGTGCCTGCTAAACATTATGATCTTTATAAACAATTTGTATTTGATCAACCACATACGCAAGATAATGCATGTGAAGCATCAAGGCTTGTGTATAAGCAACAAGGACAATATCGAGTAGGCATCCTAAACAGAAAACATTCAAGGCACGTGACTAATATGCCTGATTTGATCTCTCGTTTGACGGCCATGACACAAGAGCAAGACGATATTGATTTCAGTGTGGTCTCTATTGACTTTGAATCTGACTGTACGCTAGTGAACACAGCTCATGTAGTCAAGGACTTGGATATCCTGATCGCACCTTATGGTAATGGACTAGGCGCTGGTCTGTTTATGAAGCAGGATGCTGTGGCGATTGCTATCATGGCCAGGTATTGGAATGACGGGTGGTTCAAGTGGCCAATGACAGCCATTGGTCGCCGAGTCTTTAATTTTGAATGCAATAGCGAAGCGTGTAAAGAATACGAAGAGGAGCTAGCACAACACATCTTGAGTGCATATCATCTTGAACTCAACAAGACACAGATGCAAGAATTCTTGACGACCAGCAACCCAGAGCCTCTCTTAGATAAATATATACCGGGCCTATCATGGTATCCCTTTTTGCAATACTACAAAGATGTAAGCCGTAGATTGGAAATAGACCGTTTCATACCATTTTTGAAGCAAATCATGGCTAATAAGCCACCTAGCAATGTCTCCTTTGTTGAGTCATGCAAAACACCCAATGTATGTTGTGATTTAGATTGTGAAGAACCCTTAGATAGAAATGTTTTTGGTGAAAAAAATGCCTGGCATTAATGTAATAAAAGCAATACTTGTATTATGGAGCAACTAGATCAGCTTATTTGGTGCTACCTAAAAAGTTTATTCAACCAATAAACCTATTGCAGAGGCAGTATTCAATAGAATAGCTGGGCGACTTAAAAAAAACACCTCATGAGTTCATCAAAAGACACATTTATTGCATAAAAATGGAACAAAAATGAATCAAAACCACTTTTTTCGAGTGTTTGATATAAAAACATGATAAGCTTCGAAAAAGCCAAAAAATGACTTTGAGCCCTTATGATACCCTTATCATTTTTGGCCTTTTTCACAAAATTGTAATTTGCAAGCGATACATTAACATTTTACTATAATATATATGAGTACAAGATGCATGTCTAAGGCCTTGGAACATAGTCAAAGCGACGAATTTTAAAAAGTGTATGAATATAGGGCAAAAACAGTATAAGCGTTTTAAAAGGTTCACTCAAAATCTAAACAGCAGATATACTAATTTTCTAGTACTATTCAATGCGCCTTTTTATATACTAAAAAATTTTGTTAATACAGCTTTGCAATAACTCTATACTTTAGAGCACTTTGATTGATTTAATGCTTTTAATTTCATTTTTTTCGTCAGATTGAATTCTAAAGATATTAGGCACTTTAAAGTCCGTCAACTGACATTTCAATCCGTTTGTTTCCTTCATTTATCTCTGTGTATTTTCCTATGGATTTCGTACAAAGTGCTGTTCAACAAACTAATCTAGCCAGTCTTTTAGGGCTTCATCTCGTAAGTTACCATATTGCATAATAAAAACACGTCTTATCATTCTATGTCAGTGCCTTTCTCTCTTAGGCGCAGTTGCTAGCAACCCTACCTATAATATCCCTATTTTCTTTTTTGGTATTTGGGCTTTCAATAACCGTGAGTCTACCACACCCTTAAAGACAGTAAGTGCTATAAAAGAAAGGAGGTTATTGTTCTGATTTTATTAAGTTTGCAGGAGCACTTGGTCTCAGTATCTTTTTGGATTTGATTTGGTTTTATTTACATGGTGGTAACCCACAAGCTGAAAGTGGATTCGGTTTTGCCAAATTGTAAGTTTCAACTATTAAGACGAGCTTTGATCATAACTGTTTGGGATAGCTTTAATGTAATTAGCTTGTTTGTTAAGGTAAAGTCATGGATAGTGTTACAATCATGACTAAACAATGATGTTAGCCCTTTACTGTATATTCTGCTGCCAACATCCTCAAGGAACGCGGTGATTCTTTAAATGCTGGAAGTGAGTACACAGTACGAAATATTCTTGATTACTTAATTTTTCTAGATTGGTCAGAAGCTCCAGGAGCATTTCCTTCAGGTGGTTATCAAAACGTGAGAGATGGAGATAGTGCAGAATTCCCATAAGTTGATAGAGAATTTATGCAATTACCCCAACAAGTCCTTGATTATGATTGGCAGAGATCCCTCTTTTATTTATGGTTGTTTTTTTTACTGGAATTTTCTGCAATCTATCGTCTTGTTTGACATTCATACCATATAGTGAAAATTAAAAAAAAATAAAGATCAGTGTGTTATTCTCTTCTTGTTTGTTTGTTTGTTTGTTTGTTTTAATTTCTATTTTATTACTCATCGTTTAGAGATCTGCTGATACTACAAGATAGATATGTTCTCGGGCAATATCTTTTTTATTCTTGAGCATCAACCTTGAAAAGGAAATTTTACTTTAAAGAAGCTGATTGGAGTTGAATAAATCAGCATTTTCCATTTGATTATTAAAGGATGACCTTTGCTTTTTCTTTTTTTTCTTTTTTTCTTCCATTTACTATTAACAAAAGGGAATGGAGTGTATTCCAACTGAAGATACTGACGCTTATTTACGCTGGATCAATGTAAGTTGTCTTGTTCAGTCAACATGTCAACTCATCATTCCTCTATAGTCTGTCTTGGGTATTTGCATACATAGTTATCTTAATGCATTGAGTGTCTTTTTGGGCTATTTGTCCATCTTTTGTTGGTTAAATGCTCAAATTCCGTAAGTTGCTATACCTGATTTTTTTTTGTATTTAACATGTCACCCTAGTCAGGTCATGAAGAATTATAAGTTACGCTCTGCTGATGGGCTTAGTCTGTACCTCTTGTACTTTTGGCTAGCAGGTAGGATGAAACCCTCAGGGGTGATTCGTTCATGTTTGTTTATTCCATTATGTATAGGCGACCTTGGCAACATGCTCAGTTGTATACTAAACAGTCAATTGCCATTTCAGATTTATTTAGCTACTTATTTTGTTTCAACAGATCTCATCTTGCTCTTTCAGTATTTTTATTATGGCAAAGGCGACTTGCAATGTTCAGAAGATGACTGGAAAATCAACACATTTGACCAACTGGCCAACGATGAAGAATCATCAGCCTTGATTCATGAAAATACGCTTGAGCTAACAAAGACCATGGAAGATATTACTTCTGTCTCAAGCAAGTATGGTTCTGTTTCAAACACAAAGACAAGTACCATGTTAATGGGAGTACTGCTCTTTGGCTGGAACTTCGGTTCCCATCCTATGGTCTCTGCCTTGTCAACAGAAAATCCTGTCACATTTGGCTGGACCCTGGCTTGGATATGTAATTCACTTTATCTGTTGTCCCGTATACCACAAATCTACAAGAATTTCAAGCGCCATTCAACCCAGGGACTCTCACTGGCTTTGTTCTTTTTTGCTGTATCGGGTAATGTTACTTATGCCCTGAGTATTTTAGCTCATCCAGGGCACACAGCAGAGACTTTGATGCAATCATTGCCTTATTTATTTGGTAGTTTGGGTACATTGTTCTTGGATGCTATTATCTTTGGCCAGTTCTTGCATTATCGAAAGAACACAGCCCATGTTGACAATACGCCTACTACTGCTGCACTGACTAGAGCTCTTACTTTTTCTTCTCAGTAACATACATGTCTATTTATTGTTTGAAACACATATACGGGTCAATGTTTTTATAACTAATATTTATATATATATAAAAAAACCTTATTGTAAATACCCAATAAACTTTCTTTGTTTTTTTTTATCTTTGCAAACGTAAGATCATACCAGTTTTTAGGTTCATAGATTCTCTAAGAAGAAAAGGAGTTTTGTTTCAAACCTGTACCTTCTTGGCTCGGAAGAGCATTCTCAAATCCTTTTTAAAAAAAATCTCTTAATTTTCACTAAATTCTTCATTAGGTTATTTGAATAAATACTATGCAAATGACTGAACCTCTAGTGTAATGGTATATATTATTATGTATCTCTCCTTGGACAATCACTCAGAATCTTGTACCTACATTTTCCATGGAAACTCCGTGGCCAATCAAGTCTCTAACTATTCAGATTAAGTTGCATAATCCCTGACATGTTTCTTTTGTAATACAACAGTTTGTTTTATTACATACAGTGAACTATGAGCAAATATATGCCGAGAAACAACATACTGACTTGTAATGTCACCCATCCTATCAAAAGAAGAATCCTTTGCTTATTTCTCACAAGATAAAAACAAATATATTTGTATTTGATATATAAGGAGATATTTACACTATTACAACAGGGAGATCTATTGCCATCATAACCAGCATTTAGTCTCTTGTTCGGTTTTAAGCGTCTGTAGGAACATCATTGGATTATGCTTCGCTTGTTCCTTAATTGGCAAGAGAATAAGCCACAAGAAAGAATGGTCACAAACTCCTGTTTTTCTTGCAATACAATCCTTTAGGATTTTTTTTTCAAAGTCTGATTTCTTTCAAGTTTTCTCTTTAACTGCATAATGGGTAAGATCATCAAGAAGGGAACTAAGGGTGCCGCCGCCAACTACATCACTAGACAACAAGCTTTAAATAAGCTCCAGATCTCCCTTGCTGACTTTAGGTAAACTCTTTTTTATGGATCTGTCAAACATAACTCACCACTCTCTCTCTATATGTAGACGTCTTTGTATCTTGAAGGGTATTTACCCTCGTGAACCCAAAAACAAAAAGAAGGCCAACAAGGGCAGTACAGCACCTTCCACCTTTTATTATGTCAAGGATATCAAATATTTGCTTCACGAACCACTTTTAGTTAAGTTCCGTGAATACAAGGCATTCGCCAAGAAGCTCAACAAAGTGCTTCACAAAGGTGAATTCTCTGCAGCCAAGTCATTAGAGGAAAACAACAAACCTGTCTATACCTTGGATCACATTGTTAAAGAAAGATATCCTTCTTTTATTGATGCACTTCGTGATTTGGATGATGCATTATCCATGCTCTTTTTGTTCTCCAAACTTCCTGCTGACAACAAAATCAAGGCTGATGCTGTTGCTGATTGTCAAAAGCTTATTTCTGAATTCCAAGCTTATGTCATGAAGTCAAAGAGTCTTCGCAAAGTTTCTTTTCTATCAAGGGTATCTATTATCAAGCTGAAATTAAGGGTCAAACCATCACTTGGGTTGTTCCTTACCAATTCTCTCAAGATATCCCTACAGACGTTGATTTCCGTGTCATGTTGACCTTTTTGGAATTCTACCGTACACTTGTTGGCTTTGTGAACTTTAAGTTATACAATGAAATGAACATGATTTATCCTCCCAAGTTGGACGAAACAGGCGGTTTCCATTTGGACGAAATGATGAAATCCACTGCTGCTGCCAAAAACAATGACGACGAGGAAGAAGAAGCCACCAACGTCGATGAATTCAAATCAGCTGCTCCTGAAGAAGACAACACAGTGACACTTGCCAAGATCCAAGCTGCCACACACGCCACATCCGACTTGCAAAACTTGTTTAAAGACCAAAAGTTCTATTTGTCCCGTGAAACACCTCGTTACGCTCTTGAGTTTATGATTCGATCATGCGGTGGTGAAGTGAGTTGGGATCCCTCTGTTGGTCTCAACCCTCCTTTCCCCGAATCTGATGAATCATCACGTATCAAATCACAGATCGCCCTGTTGTCAGAAACCGTGTCTTGTCTCGTACATATGTTCAACCTCAATGGGTTGCAGACTGTATCAATGCTCGTAAGATTGTGAAGCCCAGTCTTTATGAACCTGGTGCTGTCTTGCCTCCTCACTTATCTCCCTTCGTTGAAGCTAAGGAAGGTGACTATGTTCCTCACAACAATGTAGAAAGTGATGAGGATGAAGAAGTAGAGGAAATGGTCGAGAAAGAAGAAGAAGAAGTGAAGAAGCCAAAGAAACGCACAGCTGCCGAAATTGAAGAAGAAGAACAGAAAGAAATGGCTACAGTCATGATGACAAATAAACAAAGAAAGCTGTATGCAAAGATGCAACACGGTATCAAACAAAAGGCAGACGAAGTTGCCAAATTGGAAAAGAAAAGAAGGCTTTGAAGAAGTCAAAGAAATAATCCTCACTATTTTTGTATCATTCATCTCTCATTCATCAATCTCACACATATTAATAGAATAAAAAAAAAAATTGTTTAATCCCAGTTCTTTTTCCCTTTTCCTTTTTTTTTAATGATGACAGATCCTTTTGAAACACCTTATACCTATGAACCTCAAGACCTTGAGTATATGCAACTCTCCATACAGGAAGCGCATAAATCAATCCCAGCACCTCAAGCTTATTGTGTAGGTGCCGCCCTTGTAGACAAAGATGGAAAGTTATTAAGTACAGGTTATTCACGCGAATTGCCCGGGAATACACATGCAGAAGAATGTGCTTTAGCAAAGGTAGATGCCTCTATGGATCTCTCGGATACCACCATGTACACAACCATGGAACCATGCTCTGTTCGGCTATCAGGAAACAGACCTTGCACCAGCCGAATTATCGAAGCTAAAATTAAACGCGTTGTTTTAGGCGTACGAGAACCTCCTAATTTAGTGACTTGTGAGGGCATTAGCCTTTTAAAGAGAGAAGGAATTCAAGTGTTTATCGTGCCTGATGTTCAAGAAGCATGTTTAGCACCCAATCAACATATTATCAAATAAATCTAAACATGAACTTTGTTTTTTTTATTCTTAATTACAAAAAGGTAGTGTGAGATGTGTTTACAGAAAAAAATGATGAGGGAATTAGATAGCGTTGGAAGGATAAGCAAAGTTTTCAATAGGAACAAAGCTTTCCTTGATGGTGCGAGTAGAGATGAAACGAACCAAAAGAGACCAAGAACCAGCCTTATCGTTGGTACCAGAAGCACGTCCACCGCCGAAAGGTTGTTGACCAACAACAGCACCAGTACACTTGTCATTGATGTAAAAGTTACCAGCAGTGTTACGCAACAAGTTAGAACCAGCAACAATAGAAGCACGGTCCTTGGCAAAGTAAGCACCAGTCAAACCATATTCAGTGGTTTCACCAATGAGCTTGCAAGTAGCTTCAAAGTCAACATCGTCATAGACATAGATGGTGAGGACAGGACCAAAGATTTCGTCAGTCAAGGTCTTGGCGAACTTGTCCTTGGTCACAATCACAGTAGGTTCGATAAAGTAGCCAACAGAGTCATCGTATTTACCACCAGCAATGATTTCACAGCTGTCTTGAGTAGAAGCATAGTCAATGAAACCCTTGATCTTGTCAAAGGCAAACTTGTTGATGACAGGACCAGCAAAGTGATGGAATTCAGTGACAGGACCTTGAGTGATCTTGGCATGTTCAGCAACCAATTCCTTCTTGAATTGAGCGAAAAGAGAAGCGGGAACGTAAGCACGAGAACAAGCAGAACACTTTTGACCTTGGTATTCAAAAGCACCACGGATGGTTTGCAAAGCAGCATGACGAACACCGGCTTCATCAAGGCTAGGGTGCAACAAATGGTAGTTCTTACCACCAGTTTCACCAACAATACGAGGGTAGCTCTTGTACTTGTGGATGTTGTTACCGATTTGTTGCCACAAGTTACGGAAGACGTGAGTGGAACCAGTAAAGTGAAGAGAGGCAAAGTCAGGGCTGGCAATAGCATGGCCACAGATTTCTTCAGCAGGACCAGGGACGAATTGGATAACACCAGCAGGGAGACCTGCTTCTTCCAAGATTTCATAAACAATGTAGTTGGAAAGAACAGCGCCAGGAGAAGGCTTCCAGAGCACAACGTTACCCATCAAAGCAGGAGCAGCAGGCAAGTTACCACCAATAGCGGTGAAGTTGAAAGGAGAAACAGCCAAGACGAAACCCTCAAGACCACGGAATTCAGTACGGTTCCAGGTACCGGGAGCATTCTTGGGAGGTTGTTGAGAGTAGATTTCTTCGGCGTACTTGCAGTTGAAACGCAAGAAATCACAGAGTTCAGCAGCAGCATCGATTTCGGCTTGCCAGATGTTCTTACCTTGACCGAGCATGGTAGCAGCCATAGCCTTATATCTATATTAACCATATATGAGTATACGCGTATTCTCTATGTATAACCCTCCAATTGTATAAAACGGCATGTGTATGTGTAACATACTCAAACTTTCTCACAATCCCAAAAAAAAAAGTAGTAATTGAATAATTACCTGTACTTGGCAGACAACAAATCAGCAGCCTTCAAGAAGACAGCAACACGGTCGTTAAAAGGAAGGCTTTCCCATTGAGCCTTAGCAGCCAAAGCACCATCAATGGCCTTTTGGGTAAGAGTAGCATCGGCTTCATGGTACTTTGCAACAACAGACTTGTGGTCGGAAGGGTTCAATTGTTCAGCAGTCTTACCAGTGTAAATCTTTTCGCCGTTGATGACAACAGGGACTTCAACAGTACCTTGAGCGACCATATCCTTGACTGCAGCTTCAAGCTTGACTCTTTCAGCAGAACCAGGAGCATAGTTGAGCTATAGCGTGTGAGAAACAAATAAAACAAAACAAATCTGATTTTATTTAAATTACCATAGGCTCATTATCGATTTGAGGCAATTTGAAGTGAGCAAGAGTAGGAGTGGCCATTTTGACGGATATAAAGTAAAGAAAAAAAAAGAATGAAGAAGAAAAAAATGGGCGTATTTATATAGTTTTTTTTTTTCTGCTGTCAAATGTTTATTGTCAGATTGATTGGCTCCATACAAAAAGATTGGACCTAAACTCTAATGATGATATTCTGATACTAAACCCCGCTTGTCGTTTATTTGGCCCGGCATTTCCCGGTTTAGTGGACTTGAATGACCGCTGAATTCAGAGAGAAAGAAGACCGAGAAGATGGTTTGTCCTTGTCTTATCGTTATCTCAAACAAACAAAAGATTTTATTTGGTTATTCCATCAAACGCAAGTCACATACGTTAGTGTTTTGTTTATTGACACTAAAAAGTCCGGGACCGAAAACAAATCTACACGAAACTCCCCAACAAGGCAAATTACAGACAGAGGCAGAAGGACAAGTGTACACGCGCGGACGTAACTGATTATTAAGAAAACTTGGTCGCATCCTTATTTTCCTTCTCTTAACTTAAAGGTAAATAATCCATCCTGCATCAACATCATCCATTGCTCAATATGCTAAAATACATCTTTTTAATTGCTATTATAGATAATGGAAGCTGTCCAAACTTTCGGTCGCAAGGTTAGTTTCGAAAAATCAATAAAGAGGATTGCCATCACAGCAACGGAAAAGAGAGGAGCATGAGATCATAGACAGACCACAAGGAACAGACGAATAGTATGGAAGAACGACTTGCCGTGTTGTTTATATCAATGGGTATCTCATGGGTTATGTGTGTAAAAGCAAATGCATGATCCAATGATGACAATGTAGAGACTGCAATGGATAGCAACGATATAAATTCAATCAGATCAACTTGCCCATCGTTTTTCTCTCACTCTTTATCTCTTTCTGTTGCTCTTATGGGCTTGCAATCTCCCTTTTGTTGTGTTCAATGGCTAATGCTTTTTATAGAAAACCGCTACTGCTGTTGCCCACTGTAAGCGTGGTCGTGGTCTTATCCGTATCAACGGTTCCCCCATTGACCTCCTCGAACCCGAGATCTTGAAGTTCAAGGTTTACGAAGTCATCCTTCTTTTGGGTGAAGAACGTTTCGCTAACGTTGACATCAGAATCAGAGTCAATGGTGGTGGTCACACTTCTCAAGTTTACGCTATCCGTCAAGCTCTTGCCAAGGCCATTGTTGCTTTCTACCAAAAGTTTGTTGACGAAGCTGCCAAGAAGGAAATCAAGGAAATCCTTGTCCAATACGACCGTACTCTCCTCGTTGCTGATCCTCGTCGTTGTGAACCCAAGAAGTTCGCTGGTCCCGGTGCCCGTGCTCGTTACCAAAAGTCTTACCGTTAAAGCGGTTTTATATATATACAGTTCTTTTTTTTTGTATATAAAAAAAAGAAAGATTATTGGACATTTTCCTTTCATACATATGTGTTTATTTAGTTAATCAATTCAGCAACTTGAGGATCTACAAGTTCTTCAACTTGCTTTGTGAGTTTAGAGATAACATCTGCATTTAACAATGTATTCAAAGTTACGTTTAACGCATTGCGAGAGACTTGTTGATGATGTTCAGCATAATGAACAGTCTTGAACCAACGACGAACGTCTTCTTCAGGGTATTCTAAAATACGCATGACATGCTTCACAGATTCGTCTTCCTTTTGTTCCATAAACAAAGCTGTTGCACGCTGAATAGCATTCAAGACTTTCTTTAAGCCTTCTTTATCAGCAGACAATAAATCAACATGGGCAGCAAATAAAAAGGCGGGCCAAGGAGGTGTAATCTGACCAATGCGCTTTACTTCACCAGAATCATGATAGGGCTTTGTTGTGAATGTTTCCCACATAAAATAGTCGCATGTACCATCATTCACACCATCACGCATAGCCTTAAAATTGTTCAAGACAGTAAAGTCAAAGGGCTTCTCTTCTTTCTTAAGCCAACCACGTTGGTCAGCAAGTACATAGGCCATAATATGAGATCCAGATCCATAGCGAGAAATAGCAACATTGGTCTTGTAAAGTGTGTCAATTGAATCATGCTTGGAATTCTTACCAGCAGAAAGTGCCCAGCCTAATACATAGAGATGAATATTTATATAATAATGTGTGCTAACTTACATAGGGGAGCATCCACATAGGTACCTACAATTTTGTACCAATCTTGCCCCTTACTGATACCTGCAACAAGGCCTTCTGTTAAAGCAATGGCCAAATCAAGTGATTTATCTTGAAGCTTAGCAGTCATCTAATGTGCCAATGTATTCAGTCTATGAAGACTTCTAATAAAATATATATATATATTATTTACCTCACCAGTACCACCTATAGGCATGTTGATAAGAAATACTTCCTATGCGTTTTTTTTTTCTTACCTGGACACAAGACAAGTTCAACGTTGACACCTGTTTCTTTAAAATAATCAAGATCGCGTGCGATATACAAAGGTGTCGAGAAATGTTCTGGAACTGTCATAAACGCGTTAAACAAATAGTTCTTTTTTGTCTATCTATTTTACCATAGCCAATACGAATAGTGGTAACCATTTTATTATAAAGAAGAGATGGAAAAATCTACCCCCGCTAAAAAAAAAAAAAGAGTCCCCAATTTTTATATAAAGGCTGGTATTTTATTCATGCAGTGATTCACTATGCAAATAGTATTTTTTTTTAAAAAAAAGCGTATTTAATATATAAATATAGATAAAGTGATGGGAATACAATAGATCATGCTACTTGAAATACATGCTTATATATATAATAAAATAGATCAAATGATATAGACATTGTCTATGCTTGCTGCTGTTGTTCTTCTCCATTGATATGAAGTTTACCAAACTGTTGTTGGAATTGTATTGAGCCAATACGCTCATGTCTTCTACCAGTAGATTGGGAATTTATCATGTTGTGCATCACCTGTTGTTGATTGTACAAATCTTCTTTATTGGGATTCTTTTTAGCAAGTTCAATAAGACGCTCAAGTTCTTGGATCTTGCTCTTGCAGCTAGTGACTTCTTCTCTTAATTCTTTGATATGGTCCACAGACAATTTAAGAATAGTACCTTTATTGATAGGCTTGCCATTGGTCCCATTTTGTCCAGTTGTAACAGTCATCACATTTGAGCTTGCAGGAACCGACTCCAATAAACGATCGGGCAATAAAGTAGATAACTCTAATATAGCATCAGTATTTCCATCATACTAAAAACTAAGTACCTTGAATTCTTTCATTTATGTTATCTCTTCTTCTTCTTTCAACCGCATTATGAGACTCACGACGTCTTCTTCTCTTCTCAAAGATTTCTTGGTGACTTTGGAAGTATAAGAAAACCATACGTTTTAGTGTACTACTTACTTTCTTTGGCTTAAATCGTCATCTTCGTTTCCAGTGAACGTATCGATAAGATGCCCAGTAGAATTAGAAGGAGTAATCAACAAGTCTCTACCACCAAATACAGGAGATTGACCAAAAGAAGACCCATTTGAATCCATACTGGTCCCGAACCAGTTGGCTGAAGGATCAGTAAAAGAAATACCGTTGCTTGGATTATTAATCGCCATAGGGCCAAAGCTAGATGAATGCAGGCTATAAGACGATGATTGTTGTGGAGTGAAGCTGTTTCTTGATCTTGGTGTATTAATAAACATGGCAGAGTGATCCGAATTCTCGATAAAGTCTTGTTGTTGTTGTTGTTGTGAAAACATAAAGGTATTTTAAAGAAAGAAAGAAAAGGGGTAGTTTATATTTATCTCTCTTTCTTTTTGTATTTGCTGCTCAGCTGATAACAAGTCTTGCCTTTTATAGACAATTGCTTTTACCTGCCCCTTTTTTCTTTAAAATAGCTATAAGCGATGGCTGAATTAAATAAGAATAAGTTTTTATATGAAATGAGTCTAGAAGCATGAAAGAAAAAAGGTGGTACAGACCAACTCACTATTGTCAATTGTTACCAATAGTTTATGGACGGATAATCTACAATTTTGATTGAGCCACCATTCGCTTTAATTAGCTTTTTTTTATCTCTGTTCCATTCTTCAAACAATTTGCTCATCCTTGACCGATTCTCTTGACTGTGCACATTCACTGTAGGCACAATGCGGCGTATATCTAGACTAGCAATAAACATGGCCAATTCACGAAAACTAGAATGCTCTGAATAAGGGATGTCATACATTTTCAGACGTGAGGTATCATAAAAGGGTTTGAGGCTAGTTGCCACAAGATCAGGTGGTCTCGCTTTGATTATTGTTTCAAGTGATCTTTTCTCCTGCTGCGATTTTGTCTTGGGATCAGATGACGCTTGGAAGGTCCAACCAGTTGGTTTAAGAGCAATCATTTGGCTAAAATGAGGTTCCAAACTAGAAAGATAGGCCTCAAGGTTCTACAACAAATAATGTGTTATCTATAAACCAGAGTTTTGATTGCTTACATTAGGTACAAGATGTCCTATCGGAATAACATGAACTTGAGCTTCTTTTTGTTCGTCCGTTAGCATAGCATTGAGTTCTGAATCATGAAAGCAGTCTAGCATATGTCTCTTTTGTTCCGTCACAAATATTTTACTGTTCAATGCCTTTGCAATTTCTATTGTAGCAGTCTTGAGTAAATATGTTCCATTTAGATTTATCATGTACCTATAAATATGCGCTCTTTTCCAAGTGAATAAGTACCTACTACAATAAGCAAACGATGTTCCTGCTGACATGCATTTGAAGCAGAAATAATACTTTTCCCCTCCTCCAATAAAGGATCTGAATATCGTGTGCTATGACGTTTTGCAAGTTGGCATGCTGATTGAATACAAGAGTCTTGTGAGGGAAATGAGTATTTGGGATCAAGGTAAGTAGTATCCAAATAAACAATATCAATTGGTTCTTTTAATAAGGGATGAAGGCATATTTTAGGACATGCACGGAAGTCACCAGTGTGTAAGTATCTTAATTTACCTACAGTAACCAGAAAGATAACTGCACCAGGACAATGATTGGCGTCAATCAGCGTAACAAAAAGCTGATCCATGCCTGGAAGCAAACATGGTTCATCTAAAGGTAATGCATAAATAAAGTCCTCCGTGACTCCTAGTTTTCTTTTGACTAATCGAGCAGTAACTTCTGAGCAGTAAATAGGGCCATGTGTCCAATTGCGGTCAAGACCTGTATAATGATCAGCATGGAAATGAGATAAAAAGTATCCTTCACATCCTGGAATGTCGCCAAATGAGAATGCGTCTACAACCATTGTAGTGCCTGCTAAGCGTTTATAATAGGGTACTTGACATCCTTTTTTTTGCTCGCCAAACCACCAACTTGATTCAGTCTCAAGGAGGCCAGGTGCTTTATCGTCTTTTGGTGAGCTCCATATACCACGGATTGTATGTGTTGCTGTACTAAATAAAGTGGCCCATGACTTGATCAAGTTTGGCTGATCTGCTGCTTTTGTGTTAATATCCTTACCATCAGTTGATGTTACACTGTCTAGACAAGAATTGATATGCAGTTCCGCTTCTACAATCAATCCTTCATTGAGTGATGTGTGGCAAATAGGACATGTATCAAAAGCAGCATTATTTTGTATGTCTTGTGAGTTGGATGGCTCTTTCTTGAAATAGGACTGTAAAGTACTTTGAGTAGGTTCTGTTTTTTGTCTTTTTGTAATGCAAGTCTCTTCTGATCGCTTCGGTCGTTTATTTTCAAGATGAACAGACATGAAAAGAGGAATAAAATACTACGCACCCGCTAAATATATAAACTAAGTAGATATGAGACAGAGCCAATATTCTTTTTTTTTATTCAATTAAATAAAAAGATGAAAGAGAATAAAAGCACACTGTTTTGACACTTCTTGGTACAACTGAATTTGATACAAAGACGCTTTGAAAAAATCAGGAAGTAAGAGTCTGTATGAGAATTAAAGCAAGGTTTTTTCTGGTTTGTCAATAGTGGTATTTGATGAATTTCTATAGCTTAAAGTGCTTTAGAAACTCTGCTATAATATGATTTTCTAGGGTATGTCTTGAGCAAAAGATAGGAATGATTCGTACAAGAGAAATAGAGACATTGTATTTAAAAAATACATGAGACTGTGATGTTTTGATAATAGAGTTATATAATAAGATGATATAGAGACAAAGGTAGATACTTTGAGACTGTTCTATACAATTTTTATTTGTTCTTTTTGATTATAAATTATTCTAGCATATTTATACATGAAGAGATGTCGGAGTAAGTAGTAGTAGAGTTCATGCAAATGACTGAGTCTCTATTATCATAGACTACTTTAAATTAATTAAATAATATAAATTATGGATTTCGGTTATAAGTCTTGATCTATTAAAAGATCCATTGTCTTATTCAGTACAAGAGGTTCTTTTATGTCTATTTCTGATGTAAATTGACTATGATGTATTTTAGTATGTAAATGAAGACTTATTTAATGTCAGATCATCACATTATCCCCACCCAGGTATTGACTAATACCGACAAGCTTATTTAAGATCTTCTATTCTTTTTGTTTTGATCTGTATTGTTTCTTGTCGATCTTTTTCTCTTTCCTGAATGTTGATCTAATTGTGTTTCTTGATCCTTTATGTTCTTCAATGACTTTTTATTGGCTTTATTGATAGCCTTGACACTTTCAGGAATTACACCTATTCTTCTCCAATATTCTGTTATGAATTTAGGATCAGTGAATGAAGATTCAGGTTCCCATGTGTCTTGAGATTCATCATAATTTAACCATCTACATCTATAGAGATACTTATTGTTTGCATCCTTTTTATGTCCTATTATCGCTTCCACTTCATAATATTGTTTATCTTCAGGTACAATCTTATCTGATACAACTTTTAGTAAAGAAGGTGGGTAATTTCTAGGCTCAATGAATCCTTGTTCATTCTTTAATACATAAGAGCCACCAGAGGTTTTATTGACTATTTTATAGAATCCTTTATAGTGAGGATCAAGCTTATTTTGCTTGTCTGTAACTAAAATCATTACAGTTGCATTTATAGGAATATCAAGTATTCTATGCTTGTTGTCAAACCTTAATTTCTGTTTATCTGCTACGCTCTTTGCTTGTTCATAGACAGCAGGAAAGACTATTTCAGTCATGTATTTTATTTTTTGTTGCAAATCCTTATTTATTTTCTCCGTTGTTTTTATATCCTTTTCTTGACTGAAGTCTTCAAAGTCATTAGGATTTCTACCAAACATTAAAGAGAATGGAGTGCTTTTCGTTCTGAGATTATATTTACTGTTTAGATATAATTGGGTTGGTCCTACCATGTAGTCCCACTCAGCCACATTTCCATTTATTTGTTTTTTTATGGTTTTTACAGCTGATTGAACCGCTCTTTCACTTGCACCATTTGCTCTTGGATGATATTGTGAAATTAACGCGTGTTCGAAACCGATATGTTTCTTTATAGTGTTCATTAGAAAACCAATAAATTCTTTTCCATGGTCGCTTTGGATTTTCCTCATAGGTCCAAAGGTGCAGATAACGTTCAGTATCTCTTTAGCAACAGTTGCAGCTGATTTATCAGGTATAGCTCTCAATACATAAAATTTACTAGCTATATCTATCATGACTAACAAGTATTCGTTGCCCTGAGCTGAGGTAGTAAATGGACCAGCTAAGTCAATACCCCAACTGTCACCAGGCAGAGTAGCTAACACAGGTCTTAATGGATTATACCCTTTTCTGCTGATATTATGACGCTGACATTGTATACACGCCTTAACTAATTCATCTGCATCATTCTTTAGATTCGACCAATAGATGCCTTTACGCTTTAATGCATTAATTAGAGCCTCGGTAGAAAAGTGCCCTTTACTATGCTCAAAAGCAAGCACTTTATCACGCTCCTCATATGGAGGTGTAAAATATTCACCACTTTCAAGTGTGGGTAATGGTTCGTTAGTGGCAGCACTACTTCTCATGATTGATTTTTCCCCTCCCAGTTCATTTGACATTGTTGAATCGTCCTCATAGAGTCTGGATAAAGTGTCAGGTAAGACATTTGAAATACCAGGCAAATGAACGATCTTGAAGTCATACTGGAGAATGGTATCCATCCATGAGATCATCATCAAGTTTGCAATACGTTGAGTATGTAAGTAAGTAAGTGCCTTATGATCCGTATATAACGTAAATGTAGAACCATAGATATACTTGTGAAAACGCTTCAGTGAGAATACAAGTGCAAGTAGTTCACGTTTTGTGGCAGAGTATTTGCGTTCACTTTTAGATAGACTTTTAGCAATAAAAGAGATGTACTTTTTTTCTCCATCAGTCTCTTGATACAATACTGCGCCAATACCAGTGTTCGATGCATCACAGCTTATGGAGAATGGAACATTCATGTCTGGATAGGCTAACACAATATCGCTTAACAGAGCTTTCTTGAGATTATCAAAAGCCTTTTGATGTTTATCATTCCAGATCTTATGCAATGATTTTTCATTTCTCAATTCATCAAGTGGAGACATGATTGAAGAAACGTTAGGTATCAATGATCGGAAGAGATTCAATAGACCACAGTAGCGCATGATGTCTTTGCCACACGTTGGTTTAGGAAATTCAAGTACATTGGCAAGTTTGCGACGATCCATTCTGATACCTTGTGGAGAAATATGGAAACCAAGCAAGTGAATTGATGATTGGAAGAAATGACACTTGGCAGGGTTCAATTTCAGGTTTACATCAGTTAAGCGTTGGATCACCTGTTGTAAGTGGATTTTATGCTCTTCGACTGATTGGCTAGCACATACAATATCATCAACAAAGAATCGCACAAAAGGTAAACCTTCAAGAGCAATACTCATGGTTCTCTGAAATTGTGAACTCACATGTTTGATGCCGAATACAGTGCCAATAGGCTGATATTGTATTCCACGCCATGTGAATGAAAGCTTTACAGTGTCCTTAGGATTCAATTTTAAAGAATTGAATGCAGACTTCAAGTCGAGAGTAGAATATACTTTAGCACCCTGTAATTCCTCAAAGAGTTCACTAATTACAGGTAATGGCATACGATCAACTGTTTTGAGCAAAACATTAATATGACGAGGATCATGACACACACGATAGCCTGTCAATTCACCTTTACCATCAGTCTTCTTTACAACAGTAAGAGGCGTATTCCATTCAGTATTGGCTGGTGCTCTTTTGATAATACCGTTGCTCAACCATTCATCAATCTGTTTATCCACTACGCCCATCATTTTCAAAGGTACAGGATAGGGTTTCTTATACGCTGTTACATTAGGTGGAGTATCTAGACATACCACACTTTCAGGTATAGTACAGAAAGATCCTTTTGGAATAGCTTGGTTATTATCAATATAAGGTTGAATATAATCCATTGCAGCTTTATATTCATCAGCATTACAAGCAGGATTATGATCACTCATCTTATTTTCTTTTTCTAAAGATTCTAGAAGATCACTAGTATTGTTATAGCGTCTATCTGCTTCAAGCACTTCTTCAGTAGTATCTTTATCATCGTATGACAAAGGTAATCCAGAGATTCCAATGCCTAATGTGTACATGTAATCGGTTCCAATGCTGAGCGAGAACTCATTATTATTGGTAAGATTCATAACCTCAAAAGTACGTTTTATAGTTTTACTATTGCAACTAACGCTTAAGGTACAAGTTCCTATTCTTTTGACGTATGTATTTGTATCAGCAAGTCTTATGAAATACTTGTGTAAGTTATTTTTACTAATAAGATCTTTATTGATATGATTTATATAATTGATGTTTATCTTATTTTCTAAACAGAATGACTTGTCAACTGAGGAGAAGACAGCACCACAATCTAACAATGACATTGTTCTAATAGAATTATCGATAAGGATAGGAAAGGTAATGTTAGCACTTATGTTTTTAAAATCTCTTGTTATATTGTTTTTAGACTTACAATCAAGAGCCAAACGAGCCAAACGAGCATTTTCATCAGTGTCATCATCACTGTTATCATTGTTCTTCATATCAGCGTCATCATCCAAAGAAGAACAACCACCACGCACAGCCATTCTTGAAACCTTCTGTTTCTTGGCGGCCTTAGCCTCCTTGAACTCATCACATCTGTGACCATGGGACCATGGCTTATCACAATACGTGCAAGGCTTCTTACTTGAGCTTGGTGCATAAATGGACTTGCTAGACTCCGAAGAACCTTTACCAGCAAATATGGGTGAGTAACTACGTTTACGACTACGCTCATTGTTACTCTTATATGAACCAGAACCCGAAGAAGAGCTAGGTAGACCAGCAGCGTCCCACGAAGAAGAGAACAAATCAGTGTCATTAGTGGCAGCAATTACCAAACCGATCATGTCTTCGATTTTACTTGGCAATTTTGTTCCATACTGGGAGGACACAGCAACAGAGGCAACACGACGGACGGACTCACGCAGAGCACACCAAAAACTCAACACCAGTTGTAAACCATCGGCTAAACCTGCCTGTCTTCTAAGCTTCTGAAAGCGAGCAGCAAAGGAACGAGTTGATTCACCATGGGATTGCTTGAGGGACCACACCTTTACCATCAACAAAAACTTGCGATAGGGGGTATCAAAATGATCCAAGATCATCGATTCAGCTTCCCTCCAGGACAGACATTTGTTTCTTAATTTTTCATCAAACCAAGATTTCTCTTCCTTGTTAAGAGACATAGGCAAAAGACGTTCCTAGTTGTCATCCATATTCAACGAGTGGGCTTCCAAGACAGTCTTGAATTGCATACAGAAATCGTAGACAGAATCGAAGACTTCTTGATTTTTCTTGCTAATCACTGTATCAGTCTTGAGCTGCAAGAAAGGAAGACCAGCTGGAACCAAAGTACTTCTCTTGTCTACTTGCACGTTGGGAGTTTCCATAGCCAAGAAGACCTTATAAGCTTCGTCTGCTTCTTTGTACAAGACCTCGGCTTGTTTATAGACTTCATAAGCATGCTTGGTATTTTCAGCTTGTGGATGAACCTTTTGGTAGGCAAGGTAGTGACCATAAGCAATCTTGAGTTCCGTTTTGAGACGGTCCAGATTCTCTTTGGCAGTGGCAGCAAGATTGGCAGATGTAACTTCTTCAATGCCAATGGGCACATTTTCTTGAGATTCAAAAGAATCAGGTCTAAGATCCATGGCTTCATCTACAGCAGGAATACTAGGAGCAGGAGAGTGTTCTTGAGAAACAGGAGCAGGAGAAGAAGAACGAAAGCCAGAGTTGATGTTTTGGTTGGACATTGTAAAAATAGAATTCAAAGTAAAAAATGTGATGTTTTGATAATAGAGTTATATAATAAGATGATATAGAGACAAAGGTAGATACTTTGAGACTGTTCTATACAATTTTTATTTGTTCTTTTTGATTATAAATTATTCTAGCATATTTATACATGAAGAGATGTCGGAGTAAGTAGTAGTAGAGTTCATGCAAATGACTGAGTCTCTATTATCATAGACTACTTTAAATTAATTAAATAATATAAATTATGGATTTCGGTTATAAGTCTTGATCTATTAAAAGATCCATTGTCTTATTCAGTACAAGAGGTTCTTTTATGTCTATTTCTGATGTAAATTGACTATGATGTATTTTAGTATGTAAATGAAGACTTATTTAATGTCAGATCATCACAGAGACAAAGTCATCGAAGAAGGAATAGATGTAATCTCATACCTTGAGTTGAATTGATTTGTCTCGTTTAGCGTTGTGATGTTTTGATAATAGAGTTATATAATAAGATGATATAGAGACAAAGGTAGATACTTTGAGACTGTTTATACAATTCTATTGTTCTTTTTGACTATAAATTATTCTAGCATATTTATACATGAAGAGATGTCGGAGTAAGTAGTAGTAGAGTTCGTGCAAATGACTGGATTTCGGCTATAAGTCTTGATCTATTAGAAGATACATTGTCTTATTCAGTACAAGAGGTTCTTTATGTCTATTTCTGATGTAAATTGATTATGATATATTTTTAGTATGTAAATGAAGACTTATTTAATGTCAGATCATCATATGCATATAGATTCTATATGTTCACAACACTATCAATAACCAGTGCAGCTCTTGAGTATTTATGATGACTGCAAATATCCATACCTTAGCTTACTAGATTTAATTGATTTAATTAAATCACTCTTGTCTTGCTTATGATAAAAGAACGGATGTAAAATAGACCATAGTTCACACATCTCGGCAGATCCCTAGTTCTCTATCTGATTGGCTCCATTTTACATTCCGTTTTAAATTATAATCAAACATTCTCGTGTATATTAAGATTTCTATATAGCAATGCCGTATAGAAAACTATTAGAATGCTTTTTAGATACTATACAAACCAATTGACAAGTTTACTCTCTCTCAGGATCCGTTGTTGATTAGATAAAAGGAAAAAACATATTTTTATTCTCCGCTTTTATTTAGTATGATATATTAATTACAAAAAATTTTTCAGCAAGATAGCTCTTGTAGCTCAGCTGGTTAGAGCGTCGTGCTTATAGTCTTCAACTATACCCGAGGCACGCGAAGGTCGCGAGTTCGATCCTCGCCTAGAGCAACTTTTGCTAGGCTAGCAGTTGTATTTGTTTTTGTGGTGAATGTAGCAAATTTGTTGAAGTGATCTAATGTTACAGAAAAGTCAAAACTTTTTCTATTTGTGGCATATGGGATTTGCAGTTTAATGGAGTTAAAATCAAAGAGCATTACAATGTTGGGGGCAACGAACGTTAGAGCTAACGATTTAAAGTAGAAAAGAAATAGGAATGATAAAGTAAAAGGTCTTTCTAAATCAATACCAGTGAAATCATGCATTGGTATAACATCATTGATTCAAATGCAAAAGTAATGAGTCACTATGAACTCGAGATATTAAGATATTTTGCTTGTAGTAACTATACTGATCAAATGTTCAGGTAACCTACATCAAAATGGACACTTCAAAAAAAAAAAAAAAGGAGTATAAAGGAAAAGAGAGGGAGAACAAAGTAATGCAGGACTTAGGTAAAATTGTGAGCCTTGAAGGTGATACAACTAAAAGAAGAGAAAGACAAAAGGAGGAAAAATATAATAGAAGTAGCAGAGATATCAAACCACAAAGTAACAGTACTCCTACTTGAATGAATCAACCTGATTTAAGCATTTGTTTATCTTGTACCCAGTAATTCTTTTACGCATATGAATATATACAAAATTGGCTATATGATTGAAAGAAAAAAAGAGTTCCCATAACTCTTAGGATATCATCTAACTGGCAGTTTGCACCTTTGATAGATTTGTAAATTTGTTTTGCTTAAAAAAGAGATATATCTTCAATAGATCTTTCAAAATACAAGCTCGTTTTGAATAAGGTTTCCAACATGCATCTTGGCTCAGCAGCATTTTCGTTAAGAAAAGAACTGCATGATGCTAATCATTGTTGCCTGAATGCAGATATATACAATTGAATTCAAAACAATTGGTGTCTGCAAGTCTCTGCAACGCAATTTTGAGTATGCATTACACCATCCTTCTAAAGAATATATTTATATAGACGCTTCGATTGAATATTCGGAAGAAATATGATGATCCTCCTTGCATCTATGCGTGTTTATTTAGGCTACATAGACACCATAACAAAAAAAAAAAAAAAAAAAAAAAAAAAAAAAAAACAGTTCTTCATGGACTTTGCATTACAGTAAATCAGTATTCATCTAAATTATTTACAAAAAAAAAGGATATACTTGAAGCTGTCACTTTATTTTTCTTTATTTGATTACAGAACCTTTGTGCACCTGCTAAGTCCTCAGGTTCATTTTTCATGTATTAGAAATAACTAAACTGCACTTAATAGAAAACTGAATAATTACCTATATCTTCTTTGCGCTTTATCAGTTAATCATCTCTATAGCATTTAACAAGTCTTTTTTTTCTATTTTCAAATTTTTATGTAGATGTAACTGCAGCTATCAATTGTATTTACTTGTAATCCTAAAAAGAAGCTATGTATTGTGTATAGTAAAATACTATGCTTTCTTTAAGCAATAATTTAAAGTAAACATTGGTACAAACAAAGTATTCCTTCATCTCTAGAATCTCATTTTCGAATGCAGTTGCCAATGTATGATATGATTTGGGAAATATGGTTCTATCATTTTCTACTTGACATATGATTCAAATATTTACTTCTCTAGTGATCTATAGCTGTGGCTATTCTTTTTTTAAGTTAACAGTTGTAGCTATGTTACAGCCTTTAGTCTAGTCCAAACCTCATTGTCATGATGATATTTGCTTTAGAAGCTGACTATGTAGCTTATAGAGTATTTCGTATTTGAAATTAAACACTGAGTATGAAATAGATTTCTCACGTCTATCATTTTCTCTTTCTCTCTCTTTCTTTCTTTTTTTTTTGTTATGCACGTAATACAATACCTATTTCTTCTATTATGCTCTAGTTTATGTTTAGGTAAGCCAAATACCTTATCAGCCCTCCGAACATAATTGTGGCTGAAAAGAAGTATTGTTTAAAATTTTAATTTATCCCTTTACTAATAATAACCTTGTAGCAGTACAACAAAAGCCTGGTAAATACAGTTTTTATGTGACACCTTGTAATATCAACTAATTTAATGCCAACTAGTTGTCTTATGGCACGGTATGGGAGACGACTGTTGTAATCCTGATTCTATGGGAAGAATAACTGAGCTTATCCAACGTCGAATCCCGGGAATCTTTGTTCATAGTATCAGAATAGGCGATAATGTGGATGAAGATCACAAAGCAGGATTTTTTGGGAGAATTGCTGAGCATGTAGACAAAGTTTGTGAACAGTTGAAGAATATGCCTGAGCTAGAAAATGGATTTAATGCTGTTGGATTTTCTCAAGTAAGTAAACAAGGTTATTGGTAAAATAAATCCAAATTATATTAGGGCGGATTGTTCTTGAGGTACCAGTAATTTTGTGTTTGCTTCTTGGTTCTCATTCCTTTCATATTTACGTATATAATACAGGGCTTACGTTGAAAGATGTAACAAACCGGTAGTACATCGGTTGATAACCTTTGGTTCTCCGCATAGTGGTAATTGTTTAAGCCATAACTTTGTTTTTCTTTTGAAGCTCATCGTAATGGATGAATGAAACTTTAGGTGTATCTGACATTCCAAACTGTATGAATCCTAAGGACTTTGCATGCAAACTCATGAGATCTATGGTACGTGGAGGTGTCTATACAAACTATATTCAGGACCGAGTTATTCAAGCCCAATATTATCGAGACCCAACCAATGAAAAAGGTAAACAAGAGCTAAAAATAATATTGCTTTCATACAAATCAACTCTTGCTGTTAGGATATTTAGAAAGAAACAAATTTCTGCCTGAGCTGAATAATGAAAACATACTGAATAAGAAATATAAAGATAACATTTCATTATTAGATAGGTTTGTTATGATCCGCTTTAGTCAAGATGCGATGATCAAACCTGGCTATTCTGCAGTAAGTGCGCATAAACAAACAAACTCTTTGGCAATCACTTATTTGTTTATTAGTGGTTCTGGATAGATAACGGAGATCATGAGCTCATACCATTACAAAATCGTACAATGTACACAAATGATTGGCTCGGATTAAAGTCTTTGGATGATACAGGACGTCTAGAATTTTTGGTGTGTCCAGGGCAACATGTAAGGGGATTCAAAAATAAAGAGAGGAGACATAGAGATATGGTAATTGACGACGTTTAATTTCTCCTAGATGCAAATAAGCGATGAATACTTTGATAAACAAGTGATTGAACCATACTTGGTCGAAGAATTGCATATGTTTCAACAATCCCCACTATAAAAAAAAGCTTCAGCCATTTTTTTTACTATAAAAATCATTCAAATTTCTTTTTTGATTTCTCTCTTTCTTTTGTCTTTAATACATATTCCCTTTTGTAACATTATATACATACCAAGAATGAAAGCATTCGTATTGTTATTATTATTTATATCAAGAATTTTATTGGTACATTCATTACCAGTATTTTCTTCATCTTCAATAATAGCCATCACTACAGAATCAGTTCAAAATAGCTCACCAGATAAAGATATGACATCAGTAGACAAGACACAAACGTCACTTCCAACAAACAGCAGTAATAGCTGTCCTGATACAGACTTCAGTATACCAGTTGAAAGATTTGCACAGCTCGTATCCACACATTGGCAGTTTGATCATTTGGACTCAATAAAATCTGGCACATACAGGATCATTTCAGAAGAATTTCAAAAACACATTAGAATTTCTATAGAAGAAATAAAGAATCCTTCAGAAGAACAACAGCAAAGGGCAAGCAATATAAGACAAAAGTCGTTTGGAATGATGGCGGCATCTGCTTGGGATATGATGGATCTAGAGATACTTCATGCACAAATCTTCGGGGCTATTCAAGCACATACAGAAGGAAGCCTGCACATTGCATGGGATAGATTAGCAGATAAACTTGGACAGCCTGCATTCGACAGCTTTATTCGAGATGCTTCATTAAGACATTGCTCTTCAGAAGATGGTGATGGTTTATTAAGTTCAAATTGTTTGAAAGACAACGCTTCTCAGTTATCTCGCGAATTAGACGATTATATTTATCAGAATTTAATGCAATTTTTTACAGCTCTAGATCAAGATGTTCTACCAAAGATGCTAGCAAATACATCAAAAGATTTATCGGACGTTTTGAATTATTTTAACCGATTATTCTCCAGCGGGGATCGCCAACAACTGTATCTCCATGTCACACCATGGATGCAAGAAGTTGATTATCTAAAGTCAAAATTGCTACCATTGCTAGACAAGTCTACATTGATTGACGATCATCTCTTTGAGTTTTTTTCTAGCTATGCTTGTTTATCCAGGGCTTAGTTTTATTTTTAGAATTAAAGTACTTTTTATACACATTATACCATATTTAACTAAGCCAAAGCCTGATTGAAATGTATTAAAAGAAGCTGCAAAACGAATAAATAAATAATGATAGCCTATATATCACTTTCTCTTCTTTATGTACACAAAGCCCCTTTCCTATGTACCAAAAGGATGCTCCTACTAGCCAAATAATAATAATAATAAAAATGCCCCAGTTTAAATTGTTCTCTCCTATTTTTATCCTAAAGTTGAAAATGAAGCTATTCGTGTTACTCCTTATTCCTTATTACGGGTTTGCACAACGTCGAATCATTGTGATACATGTATCATTCTCCATTGTTTATGGCGATAAAAAACTGTCAAAGGAACAAAGGGACAGTATAGGGGATTCTAGGAAATGTCATTCTTTAGACAGCCAAATTTAAGGCATTATCTAGCAGAATCTGTCTACGAGCTTTAATTTCTAGTAGCTGACATATATACACAAAGTTTGAGCCTCAAGTAACCACAAAGGAGAAATATGTATGTGAGATTATCAAAATAATTACTGTTCTTCGTCAAAAGTAACTGTGAATATTTAAAATTAAATCATAATCAAACCATAATATGAAAGTGCTTGTCTATGCGTATGTATTTCTCAATTGTAGGTCTAGAAATTCATGTGCATTTTATGGAACACTATTCTTCATTATATTCCTGTTAAAAACATCCCTCTTCTTCTCTTCTTCTTACAGCTTATCTCCTAGTTTTTCTTTTTTCTTTGTGCATTTGTTTAGACGAAATGCTCCTAAGTTTTTTTTTCTCTTCTTCTTATGCTTCTACATGTATCTGTTTCCATAACAAATAAAGACTTTGCCCCCCTTTTCAATCAAAGAAAACTGAGTATTTTACAACAATAAAAAAAATGAGAGCTTCTCCCTTACCAGCTTCAATTCTGTCTTACAAGAGGCTGGGTTATGAAAATTGTGGCTCATCTACTTTAGTCAATCACATTTCTCTCTCTTTGCATGCATGCACAATATTACATCCCAAAAATGACATGTTTATTACTTAGTTCATGGATTGAACCAACTTGTTGATGAATTGTTCACGGTTACCAGTGTCACCACCTTCAACGTAGTTGAGGAACTTACGTTCTCTCCACAAGTTGTTGGGGTTGGACAACTTGAAGGGCCAGAGGAAGTTAGAGGCTTCCTTGAAGTGAGGACCAACAGTGGCAATTTCGTGGATGAGATCTTCAACACAGATGATGTTGTGCTTGCCAAGGGCTTGTTCAATAACAGAGTTGTCATGGATAGGGATACGTTGCTTGTTGACCTTACCATAACCACGCTTGTAGATCAATTCACGGATGGTCTTCAAGTTGGGGTAACCATAGGCAACATAGGGTTGAACCAATTGGAGCATCTCAGAGGTAGCCTTGTTGAGACGGACAAAGACACCGTTGTTGATTTGGAGGAGACGCAAGAGTTGGAGAACCTTACGGGGCTTGGGGGCAATGTTGTTGATACCACGAACACGAACAACAAAGACGAGCTTTTCTTGGGCAGGAACGTAGTAGTTACCTTGAGCCTTGGCTTGACGACGGAGACGGATTTCATTACGGGCAGCAGCCTTGTATTCAGCATCGTACTTGGCAGCACGCTTGAAGAGCTCGCGTCTTTTGGCAAGCTTAGCCTACAGTTATTGTTAGCTTGAGCTCTTATATATACAAGACTAATGGAACAAATGAAATAAAGAGAGAATCAGCCCCGAAAGATGGTTAACAAAAAGACATCATCGAGTGCAATCTAGTCCATGTGGGTTGTACCCCATTATCATCATGTCTTTCTTTCTTTCTTTTGTTTTTCAATTAGCCCTGTCAGACAATACTTGCCTTACGAAGTTCGGCCTTCTTGGAAGCAGCAGCTTCAGCAGTCTTGGCAGAGGCCTTGTTCTTCTTCAAAAGAGTTTCGGGAACGAGAACATCGTTGGCGGCAGGGATATTGCTATTGAAGAATTAGTTAGCGTCAATAACAATGCTTTTGTTTCTAAAAAATGCGATGTCGATTACTTACTAGGCAACCATTTTGAATAATACCGTGAAAAGAAAGAACTTTTTTTTTGTCTTTACTACAGATCATAAAAAAAATTCAGCATATAACGTTCTTGTGGCTTATCCTGTCAGAGACAAACAAAAGTTAGCTGTCAAACAAAAAAACGCAGCCTATATAAACTGTATTTGCTCTTAAAGCAAATGCGATTATAACAAGAGCCAGATATTTAGAAGTTGAACTATTTTGTATATATCAATGAACAAGTTCTAAAACATGTCGACTCATCCCCCTTTACAATGTTCCTTCTCAGTAATCACAACTGAGTCCTTTGTCTATAAACAAATTCATTTCTCTTCCTTCTTATTTTATTTGCTCTTTGTAAAATACTTACTATCATCGCCTCAATAGAATAAGCATGTTTGCATGAAAGCTGCCATTTTTCCTTTGTTTTAAATCAATAAACACAAAACAAGTCTGATGCTGGATCATGGATTCTTGTTTGAACTATAGACAGATACATTCAGGATTTTCAAACATTTGTGATATTTTTCAATTACTTACAGTATTCATATCCATAGTAAAAAATACACATAATTTGTCGCTACTAAATAACTTTTGATTCCATTTGGCACATTACGCATTTATATGCTTTTTAATCCTCAATTTATACTTTTTTCAAGCATTAAACTTATCATACAATTTTGAATCTTGGACTGGATTTTATTAAATAGACCTCCAGCATAAACTACCTTTCTCTTTTGAATAAAGTTGGCAAACGATTTATTAGCATAATAATAACACTAACAGTGGATTGGGAGCCCACTGCAGGTGCGAGTGTTTTCAAAATAAACCATCATTTCTGCCTTTTAATTCCCGTCTTTTGAGTTTTCTATGTTTGAGCATACCTAACATATTTATACAAAATCATTGCAAGTTTTGAAAAAGCCAAAAATCATCATTTTGCCCTTATGATATTCTTTACAAAATCTTCATTTTTCACTATTTTGCGATTTGTGAGCGACAGAGACATTGTAGACATAAGATGACTTGGTGCGAATTGCTTTTCTAAAACTATAGAATACACTCAAAGCGTTAGATTTGTAAAAGTACTATAAAAAGTGTATGTTACGGCTCAAGAACAGAAAATACGTTTTAGAAGGATAGCTCGCTATCTTGATATTCAAAATGCTGTGTTTTCTACACCAATAGATGTAACTTGTCTATATCTACCAGTCTTTTTAGCTCCTCGTTTTTAGACACTTTTAGCCCATCATTTCTTTTGAATTTCTAGATTCCTTGATTTTAGTTTTTGACAAGAACATACTAATTTAAACTCAGAATTTCTTTAAGGGACACTCCACTCACACCAAGCTTTAAAGCATTATGAACAAAATCATAGATGACAATACCATCCAATCCTATCCAGATACTAAAGACAAGTGAAGCTAAGCTATAATAGTCATATTTTAGTCAATTAATTGCTTGAATGAAGAGCTATAAGTGGGTAATACTGTCATTTTTACCAAGTTCGATAAAGAAATCTTCCATTGCTTACGTTGTGGTGTATATCATTCTGATACTATTTTTATTGAGCACAGCTACCTTCGATATCGCTTTACTCAAGCTATCCATCCTATTCTTACTTCTCAGTTGATAGTAATAATAATAACATGGCGCTAAAGTGTTTATTAAATGCTAGTGCTAACATTAGAAATAAGTATTTGGTGTTTTGTCAAGACATTCTTTCATGATATTTTCCAAGTCCAAAGAGTGAAATGAAGACACATCAATCTGTGGCAGTTGTCCTATATCTAAAGTGGACATCAATTCATGAGTTGGAGAAGGTTCAGGGTCTTGTCTTGATATAAACATGGACTGGCGAATGGATAATATAGATTGTCTATTTGTTCCTTGTAAACTAACCACACTATTTCTGAGATTGATAGTCTGATCTTCCTCTTGTTGTTGTTGTTGTTGTTGTTGTAATACGTTTTCTGCTCCTTGTATTTCTGTTGAAGTAGAACCGCGAGCTTCTTGTGGCTGTACTGTGGTTTCTGTATGCGAAGGAGAAGCCAAAGATCTGTTCTGTTGTTCAATAGTGATAACAGGTGTACTGATTGGCAGTTCAACTGCTTGACCTATCTTTCGACTCCTAAACATCGCTAAAGGCATAAACAATTCAAACCAATGACTCATCACAGCCAATTCTTTTTGTCCATGTTGATTGTCAAGCGAACAATCAAATTTACAAATTGGACATTCACCCGACTTGGAAGTCAACCATGGATCTAATTCATTTAGAATAACAAAAGACCGTATGTCTTATCTTACCTATACATACGCAATGATATTCATGATGACAAGGTAATTCACGTAGTTGGTCACCTATCTTGAATGCTTCAAGACACACAACACATACATTGTTCTGAGACGCATGATGGATGTGTACTATGGAATGCTTTTTAAATAATGTCTTTCGCCAAGTACCCAAGGCCAATGTGTCTTGTTTTCTGTCATCTTGAGTCGTAGGCAAACAATCCACTGTACGGGTAGGAAACGTATGGAGTCTTGAGAGATCAATCAAAGGCTTTCCCATAGGCAAAAGGTCTCTGAGGTTAGGCTGAATAGGATGGCGTTCGACACTCTGTTGAAGCTGTTGTCCTTTTTTCCACATATAGATATGCATGGCCACTAATGTCAAAAAGGGTAAGACGATGTCACTCCTTTTAATATCGCTTTACCTGAAAATATCACACTTGTGCCTAATATCACAATCATGACTAATAAAGTCAACTCCCAAGCTGTTGCATGCGTATTACGAGCAGGAATTAAAGTGACACGAACAACAGCGATTCGAGATGTATTTGTTTGAGGTAAAGAAACGATTTTCTCAAGTTGTGCGCCTAGATTGGCATCTACGTTATATGCAGGTATTTTGATATGTTTGTCTATCAAAGATACTCCCTAGCACACGATTAGATCGATCATAAAGAAAAAAAAAAAAAAAGGGCACAAACCTCTGCAGGATTGTTTTCTTGTATCGCATCATAGACAATGACACCTAATGCACCTTCCATTTGTGCATTTAGAATACGTTCAGTTAGAGAACAGTCACCACCTTCCTTCTTCTTCATGAGTGCTATACTGGATATATTCAATTGGATCAAACTAGAACATGGATCTGCTTTATGGTATAAAATGCCTGCTGTTGTACCATTCAGGTGTGCTAGTGGGACATGATCGAATGGATAGACTACATCAAATATGTGTGGTGATGGCATGTCAGACTGAATTAAGGTTGAATTGGGATAAAGCCAAACTGTATCTATCATTAAAGTTTGTTAGCTGATACATGTATTCAAGGGCTTTTACCTTGAATAATCTCTGCATTTTTCGCTTGTAAGAAAATACCAGCTTCTACAAACGAATGTAGCCAAATCAGACACAGTATTAGTTGATACGTTTTCATAGAATACAACAACAAAAAAGAAAGAGAGAAGAGGAGCAATCCTTCTGCTTCTCTCTTTCTTTTTTTAAAAAAAAATAGGAGGAAGATTTTGCCCGTTTAAAGAGCCCTTCATTATTTATGCATCTCCTCCATTTTCCCATCCTATTTTTTTTTTTAAAAAAAGAAAATAATGGACGTTGAATTGAATGCACCAGAACAGTTTCTATTATGTAACAATGAAAAGTGTTCAACTGCTTTTAAATACTTGGATCTCTCAGTTCATACAATAGTCGATGGTCCTGATCCAAGAGATCATCTTGCGAATGAAAGAAACTTGTTAACTTGGATAAGAACAGGCACTACCCTGGCTTTGATAGGTAACTAATTTAGAAGGAAAAATACCTATAGACTAAGCAAAATAGGTTTCATGACATTGTTGGATATGCCAACCAAGAACTTTGCACCTTCTTATAGTCTACCATGGACTCAGGGTGCTGTCTCTGTGAATGCAAACATTCTTTCTTATATCTTTGTTGGACTAGGATTTACGTGTTTCATCTATTCACTCTATAGCTACTTTAGAAACCAAAGACAGATTGTCAAGAGACTCTTATGGGTAGGTCATGGTTGGTTAGGATATGCAGTGGCAACCATAATGATGATCTTTGTTGTGTTTATTATGGTCATGGCATTAACTGAAGTGCCTTAACTTCTCCTTTCATTGGCTAGTTTGGACATCATGGCTTGATAGATCATTTTCTCTCTATCATCCATCTTTTTGTTAGCAGAAGATACTTTAGCTAATTCTTGTTTCACCAATGCGTCTAATAAGGCATCAATAATAATAATCATTAGCATTTGTTGTTACCTTCAGGGTTTTGTTTCAAGACATCTTCAAGCAATGTCTTTGCTTGTTCTATATTTTCAAGGCGTAAATAAGCTTGTCCCATTCTGAATTTGGATTTCGTATTTGTAGTATCCAATTCGTGTGCCTTTTTTGCATAAAACAAGACACGCTCCCATCGGTTCTGTTTTGAAAAGACAGCAGACATGTTATTGTAGATCATCACAAGTTGTTCATGACTCTTTTGTTTGAATTCACTTTCGTACTTTTGTCCTCCTACTGCTTTTAGATGAAGAAGTGCATTATAGTAGTGTGTTAAGGCTATAGATTGATAAGTACTTGAGAACTACTTGTCTATGTTTTACCCTTCTTGTAATCTTGTGCTTTAAAGGCTTGATTGCCTTCTAAACGTAATTCAACACCTTTATCAAATGTAGCTTGAGATGAATCCATCAAAAAAAAAAAAAAAAAATAGAAAAAAAAAAAAGACGTGTTCATTTTATTATTTTAGAATCCTGAACGCATACGGATATCTTCAATCTTCTTTTGTACATCAGCAACAGATCGTTCTAATTCTTCAGCAATCATACGCCTCTTTTCAGCAGGCAAAGCATTGTATTGTTCACATAAATCACCGTCAATGACATTCTTGACAGGTGCGTAATAACTTCGATAGAGTAAATGTTCTCTTCCAGCAAGTGGAGATGCTTCTGCACGCATATGCATTTCAAGCATTTGAAAGAACTCGACATCTTCTTTAGATAAAAAGGGAACATAGATTGAAATAGCACCTAAAAGGGAAGTGGTCAACAACACTTCACGACCACCTGATAAAAGAGCAGTGCGATGAATAGATGTGATGATATCCCCTGCAAAATATTCACAAGCACTTTCCACCTAATCTTTTGTTAATGATCTCTTTCATATGTCTATCTCTTTATCTGTACCTTATTAGGAGCACCTTGAAGGTATCCCTTTTCATGATAAATACGATTGCCTGTTGTATCCTCATCTATTTCTCGAGAAATAGTGTGTGGTAATCGAGTCACAAAAAAGTTACCAAACTTATCACCACCAGCAATGGTATCATAATCCACCATTGTAGACGCTGTCATCCAACGAGGCACTGTATCATCTGCAAATATCACCAGACGATTATCAGCATGTTTATAGATCACATAATGCACTGATTCTTGAACATCTGTCGCAATGATACGATGGCCTTGGTTATGCAAAGACACAATGCAGTTGGGAAACGTCTTGGTCTCACACTTTCTCAACATCTTCTTCTTACCCATATCATAAATACGAAGTGCTTTGCCTGCACCGACTAATAAACGACCTTGGAAAGCAAGCAGAGCATGAGGCACTTGATCAATCGGTGTACGATGAATAAACGTCAGGCACAATTGACCGTCTTGACCTTGAACGATACGATAGACACGCAAATAGCCTGCTGTACAGCCACGAGGCTGTAATGTCACATCTTGGCCTGTGCCTACCACAATGAACTGCTCTGCAGGGTCTGTGGCATGAGGATTGTGGCGGAACTGAACCATGGCCACACTAAAGGCCGCTTCATTCTCGTCCAGTTCAATCGTCTGTAGCGTAAGGCCTTGGAAAGGCTCAATCAGACGAATACAACTAGCCCATTGACCAGGCTTGTTGCGTACATGACCAAATTGGACAGGGTCCAGGTGCGTGATATCAGGGTCAATCTCAAATCCTTCTTGTTCCTTGTCATGAATACCTTGTGTCTTGGCTGCATCAGAGTAAGTAGCGTGGTCACTTTCCAAGACCACAAACGTACGTGAAGGTGGATGAAGAGCGAATTTGCGTGGTGTGTATTTGAGAGGAATAGAGACCTGGTTGAACACATTACCGAGTTTTTCAACTGTAAAGATACGAAGTGTGTTGCCTGCCACAGCCACCACACCTTCAGGACATTGTTCACTCACAAACGCACTACCGTATTCCAGCATTTCATAACTGAGGGGAGTCAAGTACAGTCTGTTCTGGAACGTATAGCTTACCCAAGGTTTGGTGGACAAGGCCAAGACAGCAGGCAATCCTTGAATAAGGATCTTGAATAACTTGACGCTCTTTGGACCCAGGAATCGTGTACGCGTATCTGACAATTGACCTGTAATGGTGTCCAGAGCAGTACGCAACAAGAGACCATTGGACATACCGATATTGAGATACGTCGTACCATGGCCTAGCTCAATGCCTGTGTCCATCATTTCCACAATGCAAAGACTGGAAGGAACGCCTTGTAATGCTTGCATCGACACAGGTTCGAGACAAGCATCAGGATCCAAACTCAAGATGCGGACTGTCTGATCTTCACAACCGATAGCCAAATAACGCGATCGCTGTCTTCCTTCAGGCACATCACCCAAGGCCAAGGCAGAAATGGCAGTCGACATCTGTTTACGTTCTTGATGTTCATTCAATTGACCCATGGTGTCCAATTCAAAATAGACAATTTCACCATTGGATAAAGCAATCGCAATCTGACGGCTGTTGGTAGCTGCTTCCATGATCTTTTGACCTGTAGGTGCTTTCCATTCATTTACTCGACCCCCTGCCAAGATATGTCGAATACCCTTGGGATGAACTTGAATAAGGGCATCATCACCCATCTGTTGGACAGCCAAGGTGGGTTCCTGTGTCAAGAAGCCAGTGTCTTGTACTTCTTCTACAGTCTCACCAATCGACAACACAAGGGTAGCGTTTGCAAAGGAAACAACGATATAGGCATGATAAGCATCTTCTGCCTTCAGCTTCGTTGTCCAGACAGCACTTGGATTACCTGGCAATTCACTGACAGCCAGCTCAGAAGCCTCTAGACCTTGGTTCAAGATACGGAATGTGGATCTGGACCCTCTACCACAGATAGAATAGATACGAGGGGTTTCTTCATCTGCCAAATTCAGTACTTTAGCATCCATCAGGGGAGCCATGGAGCTCAATTCGTCTACAAGCGAGAGGTTCTTTAAGGGACGTGGTTTAAAGTAAACCAAGGGTCTTTCTTCTTGTTCTGCTTCTGCTTCCATATAATCTGCAGAAGAGATTTCTGGGTCATCGTCATCATCACCAAGGCTTTCAAAGAAATAGTGATGGTGGTTTCCAAACTCATTAGCCACAAACAAGAACCCGCTCTTCAGAATACAGAGTGAAGTAGCAATAGGAATCGTATCAAAATACTTGATTGTCAAACCATTCACAGCACCTTGATCATGGTCCATAGTGACCTTGTAAAGATCGCCTTCTTCTGACTGTAATAAGAAAAAGAATTGGGTCTTTTTATCCACACGCATACGATGGACTGCATATGTGACAATGATGATGCCGCGTGTAGGGTCTTCAAGTGGTTGAGCACGGCGAGGAATAGGGATACGTAGTTCTTCTAGTTCAGGATGCTTGTAAGCAATGAAATTCTCGCTGCAGACCAAAACACCTGAAGGTCCATCATTACCACCAGGCACAGGAATCAACAGATTCGCTTGACGGTCCACAGGTTCGCTCCATTTTCGAACGACATGATTCAAGCCCAAATCAAGTTCATAGTACGTCAACATCTTTTCTGCTTCTTTGGCTGCTTGGCCTGTAGGATCACTATCTGCATCTGTATAATCGACTTCGAGACAAGCAAACATGGGGTTTTCAAATCCAACATCGACAGCGACAATATGATGATGTACTGTATGACTCTTATGTGCTTCTAGTGGTGAAGAAATAGTCAGGTTGGCAGCTGAATCACGGTTCAAGATATAGACCAATTTTTGTTTCTCGACAGCACCAATCATGACTGCACGTCCCTTGGGATCAGCAGCTAAATATTGGCCAGGCACAATACGACGACAGCCTGTTTTACCATACGTTTCTTGATGAATTTTATCAAACGTGTTTTTGGTAGGATTGTATTCTAAAATCACAATACGACCTGAATCAGAACCCACCACAATATAATCTAGTATGGGATGAGTATACATGCATGTCGTATCTTCTGCTTACCTTTGGTGCCACCTGTTAAACGAAAAGGAGCTATAGTACGAATAAGTCCAAAACATTCGTGTGAGAGAACAGTATGTACTTTGCCAGATGTGGCATCGGGTTTTAATAATTCAAGACGTGTTTGTCGAGCCACAATAATTTCTTGTTGACGCGTGCCCGAAAAATTACCATGAATAGCTTGGTTAATGGCAGTGGATGGATTGATGGTCAGATTATACAAAAACATCGCGTCTACAATAAAGAAAAAAAAAAAAAGAAAAAAGGAAAAAAAATAGACACTTTGTATCTGGTTTTAAATTGGTGGCTTGCGTATGTTTGTTCATGCTTTTTCTTTCTTTCTTTTTTTTTTTGTATAGATCATGACAGAGGACAATATAAAAGTGTAAGCATCATGGAGTCATGCAATGCCTAATTTCCCTTCTTTGTTAGTCTTGTGACAGGTTCTACCTATGGTAAATTTAAAGAATTGTTTACCAAAGTAAAGCAAATACACGAAAAATACGGTCCTTTTCATGTCCATTTGTGCACAGGTGATTTCTTTGACGCGGACACACCTCAAGCATCCATTGATGCCTTGTTACATCACCAAATAGATAGTAAGTTTGTTTTTGCAATAACTCATCATTCATGTCTTCTTTTTTTTTTTAGTTCCATTGACCACTTATTTTATCAATGGCAGCCAACCTCTTCCAGACATGGTACAAAAGCACTTGGAAGCAACTGACGGAGAACTTTGTCCCAACCTGTATTATCTCGGTAAACAAGGTGTCTTGACTACATCAGAAGGACTTCGAATTGCATTTATTTCAGGCCAATCAAATGAGACCGAATCGTCTGCTTCTGCTTATACACAAGCCGATGTACAGAAATTATGCTTGACTCACATACCTGTCAGTTCACCACCTGGCGTGGACTTACTGCTGTCTTATCAATGGCCTGAAGGGATTGACAATCTCAGTCAAGCACCCATTCATCCATCTGATTCGTCTCCTTGGATAGCTGAATTAGCCACTGCTTTAAAACCTCGGTATCATTTCGCTGCTTCTCATCCTCAGTTTTATGAGCGAGAGCCTTACAAGAATATCATGGCTGGATTACCCGAGGAAAGACCTGCACTACATGTCACTCGATTCATTGGTCTGGGTCATGTCTTGAATACAGAAAAGCAGCGTGTAAGTAGAAAGGATGAGCATATGGCGCATCTAACATCTCGACCAGTGGTTTTATGCGTTTAATTTAGTACCCCTTTCAAAATTACCTAAAGAGGCATTAGAGACCTTACCAGACAATACAACAGAATGTCCATTTGTGTCAAATAAACGCAAATGGGTGGATCAAGAGGAAGATCAAGGCTTCTTTTGGTCCAAAGAAGCCAAGCGAGTCAAAGGCAGTCAACCACCTCCTGGCTATGTCTGTAAACGATGTAAAGTAGAAGGTCATTTTATTAAAGATTGTCCTATGGGCAACACAACTCCTCCTGAAGGTTATGTCTGTAAACACTGTCAAGGATCAGATCATTTTGTGCATCAATGCCCTCATACAACCAAGCCTACCTGTAAGTATCACGTAATATAGACCATACTGATACCCTCTCTTCTTTTTTTTTTTTAGTGGATTCTTGTTGGTTTTGCTTAGCAAATCCAAAACTAGAGAAGCATTTGATTGTATCGATTGGAAATGAACTCTACATGACACTTGCCAAGGGACCTGTGATTTCACAAGGAGGTGTACCAGGCAAAGGTCATGTTTTGTTGATTCCCATTACACATTATCCTACATTTGGACTTGTTCCACAAGAATCACAAAAGGATGTCATTACAGAATTAGTCAAGTACAAGAGCAGTCTTCGTCAGTTATTTAATGCTTATGATCAAGACATGGTTGTGTTTGAAGTCTCAAGAGATTCTCAGCGTGGTTTATCCCATGCTCATTTACAAGTAGTTCCTATTCCTAAAGACAAAGCAGATCAAGTGGAACGAGTCGCAAGAGAATTGGCTGCTGCTCATCAGGTTGAATGGGTGGATAAAGTGCCTGTAAGTGAAATCAACTCAATACAGTCATGCTCATTACTTGTAGCAAAACCCTCGTATTCCTTATTTTAAGCTGGATTTACCTAATGGTCAATCTTTAGTGCATGTAATACAGCCTAGAGAACGCTTTAATTTACAGTTTGGAAGGTACAAGAAAAAAAAAAAAGGCTTGTGAATGAGTGATAGATACTGATACTCTATTTCTAGATTGGTAGTAGCCACTGTATTAGGTTTACCTGAAAGAGAAGATTGGAAGGCTTGTAGTGAGACAGAAGAAGAAGAGAAAGAGAATGCTACACTTTTTAAAGAAGCATTCAAAGCCTATGATTTTTCTTTAACTCAATAAAATCCAAGAAATAAAAACGCCGCTTAAAAAAAAACTGCCTTATGGAGTGATCCTTTTTTTTTTCTTTTTTTTTTTATTATTCTTTCTTTTTATTTATATATATATATATATATAACTACACTTATCTCGGTCTAACTCTATACTATGTCTAAAGCTTCTTCTTTTGTACGTGAATACAAGCTGGTTATGGTTGGTGGCGGTGGTATGTAATCTTCATCATCATCTCGAGAAAAAAAAAAAAAAAACTAAATACAGTTGAATAAGGTGTTGGTAAATCAGCCTTAACTATCCAGTTTATTCAGTCTCATTTTGTGGATGAATATGATCCAACAATTGAAGGTAAATTTTATATACATATATAAATATATAAATATATACAAATGTAACACAAATTTTTTTACTATTAGATTCATACCGCAAGCAATGTGTCATTGATTCAGAAACTGCTTTGCTTGATGTACTTGATACAGCTGGTCAAGAAGAATACAGGTAATTGATATCTATATCATATTAAACTAAACTTATTAGTGCTATGCGTGAACAATACATGAGAAATGGTGAAGGTTTCTTATTAGTCTACTCCATTACATCCCGTATGTCATTTGAAGAAATCTCAACATTTTATCAACAAATTTGTCGTGTAAAGGATCGTGATTATTTTCCTATGGTATTGGTTGGCAACAAGTGTGATTTAGAGACAGACAGACAAGTGTCTAGTCAAGAAGGCCGAGATTTAGCAAAGACATTTGGGTGTCAATTCATTGAGACTTCTGCAAAACAAAGAATTCATGTTGATGACGCCTTTTTTGAAGTTGTTCGTGATATTCGTAGATATAACAAAGAACAAGAAACACGGGGGCATGATCAATTTGGCATTCAGGATGCTCCTGATGTTGCTTCTGACAAGTGTTGTGTCTTGATGTAAAACACCCTTTTAGTATTTATTTATTCCCTCTATTTTAGACACATATAATAAAAATGGATAAAAAGCATGTGTACATCTGAGTATATTTATTTAAACATTTTGTTCATTAGCTGAGAAGCCATGGCACCAAAATCAGTACCATGTTGTTGTTGTTGTTGTTGGTTACCAGAAGTAGGAGGAGGATAGTAGTTACTATTATTCTGCTGTTGACCAGAAGAAGGATAGTAGTTATTATTGTTTTGCTGATGACCAGAAGAAGAAGAAGGAGGAGGAGGATAATAGTTGTTATTGTTTTGCTGATAACCAGAAGAAGAATGATTGTTGTTGCTGTGTTGACTAGAATTACCATGACCTGAAAGAAGAGATCCTACCATAGCACCAACACCACCACCACTAGAAGAACTATGTTGTTGTTGTTGTTGTTGCTGATGTTGACCACTATTGGAACCACCCATCAACATACCTAACAAACTACTAATAGCAGCACTACTACCACCACCACCACTACTACTACTACTACCGCCATGTCCACCAGCAGCATTGGATTGCTTGGACATGTACAACTTCATGGCCATCATCGCAGCTTGTTGAATGGCTTGGGACTTACCAGTGTCATTCTTGTTGGCATGACCTGAACCAAACATCTTGGCTGCTTGTTCCATAGCCATCTTGATCATGTCAGCCATACCACCGCCTGTTTGTTGAGATCGCTGCAGTGCATGTACAGCAGCAGCATTACCTACTGCATCAGGTGAATTGGTTTGACTGGGGTCTCGCATCACTTGTTCATAGGATTCTTGAGCAGCGCGGATTTCATGGTCTTGAGCAGGTTGATGACCAGACATGTTGGACATGATGTTAGAATAAGTAGAGTCAATAGTGGCACGGTCATCACCATCAGGTTGAGGATAACCATAAGATGATTGTGGTTGAGAATAGCCTTGAGAAGGAGCAGGATAACCATAAGATTGTTGTTGTTGTTGTTGTTGAGGATAACCATGAGAAGGGCTAGGATAATCATACGATTGCTGTTGAGGTTCAGGAAATCCATACGATTGTTGTTGTTGTTGAGGTGGTGGATAGCCTTTAAATCAATTAAGTACTCGTCAAATTTCATGCAAATAAATACCATAGTTGTTATTGTTATTGCTATAGCCAGCATTACCTTGGTAACCGGTAGATTGACCTCCTTGATAACTAGCAGATTCACCTTGATTGTAATTCATGTTTAAGTTGTGAGAAGAAAAAAAAAAAGTATAAAGTACACTAAATAAATCACGTGATACATTACATAGATGTCCCCCCAAAAGAGTGATATCACAATGAAACGTATTTGAATCAACAATAAGGAACGGCAATAAATGCCTCCTCTAGAAAAAAAACAAGCTTATGAATCACCAATTATCAACAAACTCTATCTAAATAGATTATGAACATCTATTGAGATAACACCTTGCTAAAAGAAAATACAAATAAACCCCCTTTTTTTACAGCCAAATTGCTCTATGTTTGGGTCTATGGTGAGGCAGATAGTGTTTTATGCAACCGCAATATTCGGTTATATGTTTGGGGTGTATTAAATATCTAGAAAATAACAATTCCGTACTAGTTGAATGAAGTTACTTTTACTTTTTTCTGGGTTTACTCAACTCATAACTCTGCTTCAGGATCTGTTATCACACTTTTGGCCGCCATAAACTTGAATATATCAAGTTTTCATATAATAGAGAAAGCCATGTTTTGATATTAATAGTAAAGCTTATTTGCGAAAAACTCTTTAAAGAACAATAGCAGAAATTTGCTTGAGTTTTTTTTTCTCAATTGCCCTTCATGCTTACTCGAATTAGTATTATGATATTTCAATGAATAAAATAAGCTGAGAAGCAGAATCTTGAATGTAAACAAGTCTAACAGGTATTGACTCCTTTAATCAAGTCAAAAATAATGTGTCTTTTCTAATGCTGGCTCCTCATGTGAAAAGCGATCTCTTGAAGATATCACCTATTGTAACGAGCATAATCTACGAACCTTTTCTATTATTGAGGCTTAAAAAAAAAGAAAAGAGGAACTTCATATGACTATGATTTATTTGTTTAAAGCAAGGCTTTCATATCTGCTTTTATCAATCATGTCTGCATGGTTTGGTCTTTTTAAAGCATTGTTTATTAATACATATCTTTTCTTGGATCTTGCAAAGCCTACTAAGAACATTTGACCTGGCCTATTTTTAACATGTCTGTTAAAATGATATATGAGAAAGGTGTATATATATACATTGCTCTTATAGAAGTATATATTCCACTATTTTCTATTGTGTTCTAACTCAAGATGAAAGTAATTGTTCTCGTTCTCGGCGCTATCGTGAGTGGTACTCTCCTTCTTGCTGAAGAAAGCATTTCAACTACTGCTCAACCCACTCAGAGTGTCAATGCCTCTGGCACCACGCCTAAAATAAATACTACTGTTCCTGTATATGAATGGATATATGGATATAATGCAGGTCATCCCAACCCTGATTATTGCAAAGGCTTCAAGATCGAGAGTCCTGTGCTTGATCATCTTGCTTTTGAAGCTATTTCCATTCAACAAATCAAATGGTCTGTGAATCAATCACAGCTTGTTCCTGGTAAAGAACCCAATTCGATCTATCGTATTCGTGTCTTGAGCTTTGCAAACTCTAATGAACAAGTGATTGCTGAAAATATCGGTAAAACATGAAAAAAATCTCCTATCCAATCAACTAAGATCTATTGACTCTCTAGCTATCTATCTTAAAGGCAATTCTGGCTCAGTCCTTTTCCCTCTTCAGGTAGAAGACTATTCGGGCTATTACAAGTATCGTGTCATGGTCAACTATGGTAATGAAACTATCCACTGTATCTATGAATCTGTCCCTTTCCGTATCATTCAACAGCCTGAAAAGACATTTGATCTTACCCCTTATTATGTTCCTTATCAAGGTGCTGTCTTTTCTCAAGACCCTCAAGCTGGAATGACATTTCATGCAAGCCAAACTGTTGAATAAATAAATACAAAGTTTATTTTTTTTTTAAAAAAAAGTATTGAAGTACTATTGAATAAATCGTCTATGCTTTTTTACGTGTCATTTTTATATTGGAATACTCTGCTTCACTAGCAGAGGCAGTTGTGTAGCCTGTTTTGTCTAAAAAGTAAAGCAAATTTTCTGAATCTGAGTCCGAGTCTTGCTTTGTCCAATTGAAGATTTTGCTATCATCCAACAAGGCTCTTGCTGTGTCTGTTAAGAACTCGTTTGCGATTTGCGAGAAGGTTCTACCACCTTCAGCTAATTCAGAAACGGATTCTTTGCTTGTATTGTCGCTTCTGAACACATTGTCAGGATCAAAGTCACTAAAGACATTGGGACCAATTTCATTGATGACTTTGGTAATATCCTGAGACAGCTTTTCTCTTAATTGGCGCAGGTTAGCTGTGCTGTCTGGATCTACCAAGGCAAGGTATAAAGGACGAAGTGATCTAAGAAATACAGTCAGATAAAGATCGTGGTTGATCAGCACCACTTACTTGAACACATCTACTCCATTTTCTGCAAATCTCATAGATGCATAACTTACAAAAGGAAGCATAGTCCATGTCAAGAAGGGATAAAAAATGGTTTGAATCCAAGATAGATGAGATTGAAGACAGATCCAAAGCACAATTAAAGTATATAAACCATACAATGTAGGTAGTAATACAAGGCCGACTAAAAATTTCCATGTAGCTAATACGTCTCTACCAGCAATCTTGACACTAGAAGAAGCCAATGCTTCTTTAGCCTTTTTAGCACTCAGAGCCTTTGCGGTGATAACAATAGGCAAATTCAGAATAGATCTACATAAAAGAAACATGAGTGCTGATTGACATGACAAACATATTTTACCCTGGAAATGATAATAAACCCCATACAACTAACACACCAAAACGATAGCACAACAAGAAAAACGTTCTCCATTCTCTCAAGTTGATATCGGGTACTTGATGGTCTCTTAAGCCATGATACTTGAGTAACTGGTTGTAAGCCAACACTTTTTGCTGTAGATCAATCACACGAGGATCGTCTTTATACAAGTTGTATCCAATCACAAAACGACGATTCAAATCCACCACTTGAGCAATATGCAATTTGCGATGTGCTGGTTTATACAAGCGACGAGCAGCTTGAATCACCATTAATGTCTGGTCATTTGCTGTATTGACAGTGACAGCTTTCAATGCACAAAAAATAGTATCCAACAGATTTGAACAAGCTTCTCTTTTCAAGTCGCCACCTTGTTTGAACTGCTCAACTAGGTTAGCAGGGATAGTGATAGGGTTGCCAAATTCAATAACAGCACGAGAACGGAACCTGTGTGCATGAAAGTAATTTAGGCCACAAGGGACAATCTTAACATCCAAACCAGGATATTTAGCCATAGCACCTAAAGCCATGATAGTGACACCTGCTTTAAAAGGTAACATCTCATTCCGATCATGGCTACCTCCTTCAGGGAAAATGGTGATACAGCGTCCATTGTTTAATTCTTCATAGACACGCTCATAGACGCCATCTTGATCAATATGAGGTAAGCATTTATAGGCAGTGCCTTGTTGCTTTGTCAGGTGCTCTAAAGCTTCTTTTTCTTTAGGAGCAGATTTGATCACAAGTTCTGTGTCAGAAATGACTTGTTCGATTTGTAACTTGCCAGCATTGCGAGGTAGAATGATGGTATCTAAAGGACGAAACTGTTGAGTGAATTTGGTGTCGAGACCATGAATACGAAGTGGGTCTGATTTGGGATTCAACAAATAAATACGGCCAATACCAGCCTCTGCTAAATCTTGAGGTCGCATGACGGGAACTAGAGAAACAAGTCAGTCTATAGACCATCAACAATGTATGCCTTACTTGGGTGCACAAGACTCGCAAGAAACCCAATGCCTTTTTGCTTCATAGATTTGGCAGCTATTAGAAATGATACTCGTCTATTACATTCACGCATAACAATAAGGGGGTCAACAAACTAACAAAACAAATTAGGAAATTAGATACAACACTATGCTTCTTCTTACTTGGTTGGCGTGGGGTGCAGCTACAAAAATAAGTGGGCCTTCTGCTGGGATCTTGTGTGAACCTCTCGGTCTTATTTCTCGAAAAAAGACGTCGAGCATGACATTAAATATCCAAAGTGCACAGTCATACAGTAAGTCTGCTCTTCCTTTGTTTTTCATATTAAAGTATGGAGAGAAGAAAAAAAAGAAAAAGAAAACTGACACTGTTTCCCGGTTTCTAACCACTCATGTGGCGGGGACGATCAGAACAAGAATGCAATGGAAACCGCAAATGCAGTCACGGTGAACACGATTGATTTTATCAGTTCATCTTAGTGCCCTAAAGACATGCTTATTGTATTGCAAGAAATGACTTATACATAGATACCATTCTCTCTTCTATTTAACATGATAAAAAAGGGAGAATCAATCATTAAGATCATTCTGAATTTATTCTAACAATAAGCACATTCGTTTCATCAGTTTTGATTGGCCAACTACATTGAGACAGTGGTTCTAAAATTTTTTGCCGGCTAAAAAGAAAAAAAAGTTTGATTTATTTCTTTCCTTGTCACCTTCTTTTGTATATATACGCTATGGGCATAGTCTCTTCCAAACCCAAACCTGAAACAGTCACCACAACAACCACAGAAACGACTGTGAAAACCGTCATAGAGGAGAAGAGTATGAAGCGTGCTTCTCCTGCTGATCTCGAAAAGACAAATAGCAAGAAAAAAAAGAGACCGTTCAAAGGCAAAGAAAACAAGAAAAAGAAGCACTGCCACCAAGGCGAGCTTGAACAAAGACCTGAACATTTAGGACCCAAGGAACCTCGTATTCCTAAAAAGAAAGTAGCCCTTTTGGTAGGCTTCAATGGCACTGGCTACCAAGGCATGCAAATGTATGTTATTTGAATAATATATGTTAGTTGAGCTAACACGAATTAGTAATCCAACTGCTGTTTCTATCGAGGGCATATTGTTTGAAGCTATGTGCAAGGCCAATGCTATCTCTAAAGATAATTCGGATGATCCCAGAAAATCCGCTTGGATGCGAGCTGCACGCACAGACAAAGGTGTTCATGCTGCTGGCAATTTGCTATCACTCAAGATGCAGATTCCCGAGGATTATGATGTGGTTGAACGCATCAATTCTTTCTTGCCACCTCAAATTCGTGTTTGGGGCTATGTTCCTGTGATTCGTTCTTTCCATGCAAAGAACTTGTGTGACGCTCGGGTGTATGAATACTTGTTGCCTACCTGTGCTTTTATGGCGCCTGAAAAGAAGGTTATCACAGATCAACCTACATTTGATAACGACATTGTGCTTTGCGATAACCGTACTTCTGAACCTGTCATTAAATACACCACACGCAGCTCTCCAGAATTGATTCAACAAAGACATGACTACAGAGCTACTCCTGAGCAACTTGCTACATTTAAGCAAGCCTTGGCTTACTTTGAAGGCACACATAATTTCCACAACTATACCAATGGTAAATCATTCAAAGACAAGAGTGCACAACGTTATATCATGAGTATCAGAGTGTCAGACCCTATTTATATTGATGGCTCAGAATGGGTCAGTATTAAGTTACATGGACAATCGTTTATTTTGCACCAAATTCGAAAAATGATTTGTAAGTATATACATATATATATATATCAAAAGAGATGCATAAAGCTCAAGATAAATTAGCAATGGCCATGTTGGTAACTCGCTCAAAAACGCCACTCTCTTTGATCCCCAAGACCTTTGAAGAAAACCGCATCAATATTCCCAAGGCACCTGCTCTTGGTCTCTTATTAGAACGTCCTATCTTTAATGTCTATAACGAAAAGATGCGTTCAAGAGCAACAGAAGTAGAGCGTGCTGAAATTGACTTTGATATCTACAAGGACCAAATTGAAGCTTTCAAGCAGGAATGGATTTACAAGAAAATCTTTGATGCTGAAAATCACGAACATGTTTTTGATGGTTATTTGACATCTTTAGATGCTCATATTGGACCTGATTATGACTATTTGAACCCTGAAGGTGTTATTCCTGACGCTTGTCTTGTTCAAACTAAATTCAATACTAAGGCTGCATCAGACGATGAAGAGGAAGAATAGACATGTTACACATGGTTTATGTAAAATTTATGACTAAAGAATAATACCACGCTTATTGAATAAAAAAGTGTGTCTCTCTCTTTTTTTCTTTATTTCTTTTCTCTCTTTTTATACTTATGACTTCTGCTGTTGATCGCGTTACTCAGCTCTTGGGCCACTTGACTAACGTCAGTCCTGCCCTTAAAGACAAGGTTTGTATTGTCACAGGTGCTGGCTCTATTCACGGTATTGGGTAAATCAAAAATGATTTGCATAGTAAAGATTCTCATGTAATTTTCTTTTTCAGTCGTGCTACTGCTATTTCACTTGCTAAGCGTGGTCCCAAGGCAATTTATGTGACTGATTTAACGCTAAACAACCTTGAAGAACTCGCTAAAGAAATCGAAAGCACATACAAAGTCAAATGTATTCCTCGTGCTGTAGATGCCACCAGCACTTCTGCTGTCACTAGTATTATCAACGATGCATTGACCGAATTTGGTAGATTGGATGTGTTTTTTGCAAATGCTGGTGTTGCTACAGGCACTCGTCTTCAAGACGAAAATGCTGAATCATTTATGGAAATGATGCGTATCAATGCATTAAGTTGCTTCTTGGCTGTCAAGCATGCTGGTGAAGCCATGTTGAAGTTGGGTGGTGGTAAACAAGAGACAGGAGGCTCTATTATTTGTACTGCTTCTGTTGCTGGTATCCGCTCTGGTGCTGGTTCACCTGAATATTCTGCTTCCAAAGCAGCGTAAGAGATAGTAGATATATCAACATTGTCACTCATGCATGTCTTGTCTAGTGTGATTAACCTATGCCAAACAAGTGCATTCCAATTTGCTGGCACTAATATCCGTGTGAATGCTATTTGTCCTGTAAGTCTGTTGCTTGACGTTTATGTCGACTCATTTTATCATAGGGCTTGATTGAAACTGGTATGACTAAATCCACTTTTGATTATGCTCGTCAAAGAGGCTCTGCTCATAAAATTGGCCAATTGAACCCTACAAAGAGATACGGTGTTGCTTCAGAGGTAAAAAGAAAGAAAAGAATGGCAGATTGTATCTCATACTCTATAGATTGCTCATGTTGTTGCCTTCTTGGCTTCTGATGAAGCTTCTTATGTCAATGGCCAATTCATTGCTGTTGATGGTGGCCTTTCAGCTAGTCTCCCCGTTGTTCCTGGAAAATTCCATTAATAAAAAAAAAGGTGCTTTATTATAAAGAGAGATATGTGGTATCTAGGAAATGTTGTATAGTAGCCATTCCGCCTTCTGCGGCATACATTTTTTGTCTACAGACAATACTTCCGTGTGCATTAAATCCTCTGATATAAACCCAGACTCGCTCCCATTCAAGTTGACTCAAGTTTTGATGAATACGTTTTGTTGTTTCGTCCAATGCCAATGGCTTCAAGTCTTTTTCTAAAGATTTTCCTGGCTTGATCTTGTAATCAAATGGACTGATGGTTGTCTTACTGGCTATATCATCTTGATTTAAAGGTGAATCACTTTCACCGGGTATGTTTACGATATCTAAAGCACCAGCCAAGATACCACCATCAATATATTGATCTCCTATACTTGGCTGTCTGCTTAGTTCGGCTGGTTTTGGATGTTTAGTTTGTTGTTTCAATAGTCGAGAAGTACGATATCGACTGATAAGTCCTTGCGTGCCAATCACCGAGAGAACAATGGTAAGCCAAATAGGCAATAAAATGGGCGAGAGACAAAAGAAAAGCAATTGAAGAGCATATCTTTTGATCGGTGTCTTTCTCTTTTTCTTTTTATAATTAGGACCGCGAGCATCAAATGCTGTAATAAGCGACATGTACTTATCATCCATGATACTATAGTTGATGTGAGTTTTTTTTTGTTTGCCTTAATGAACTTGCTTACATGTCTAGTTTTCCTTTTCTGTCATAAAAGCAATCCAATGTTTCAATGCCTGCCGTCCAATAAGGCACAGTACGATCATTTGCTATGTTTGCATACACTCTTCTTGTCTTAAATTTGGACAAGTATTTAAAATAGACTTGTTCTAATAAAATACACTCATAAATACAGCCTTTTGTATATATGTTCTTCTTTACCTGGATCAGACATCACTTCTAATGCTGGCATGTTTCTTTTTTTATCCAATGTGTCGAGTAGTTGCAATTGTTCTCCAGACCGAGATACTAACCTTCCACTAATAAAGTTAAAGACACGGTTAAAAGCATTAGAAGAAGGTACTTTGACACCCATATGAGGTGTAGCAAATGTGATGAAATACTAAAGAATAATCATGAGTTCTTATGCAACCATTATATCAATTATTATATTACGTCAGGCTCAACCGTATCAAACAGTCTTCTTTGGCCCAAGACACCGATAGCATATCGTACAATCAACCCACCTAATGAGTAACCAATCATGCTGATCTTTTTGACCGTTTTCCCCTCTTTGCCTAATCGAACAATCATCGATTCAACCTATACTCCTATGATTGAGTTTGCTAAACCAATTGATGTCGTGACCTACATCATCTGCTAATCTTTCTCCACAAATATCCACACCATCATACGTATATTTGGTTTCATTCACGCTTGAATTTAACTTTTTTTTTTGAGAGGTAAGTATCTTTTCATGTCATGTTTATGCTTACAATATGAACACTGTCATTGTATTGTTTGGCTATTTGGTTTTCAATATATTTCATATGGTTCTTATTGCCCCATAATCCATGGGATAAGACAATAAGTGATATGTCTTGCTTTTTCGACATGTAACAATAATAACAACGATGGTGACAGAAAAAGAAAGGAATCTACTTTTTTGAGATATATAAATTTTATTCGGTCAATAAATTATCCTTCCATGGATTGCTATTTTTAGCGTAGTATACGCAATGGAATCACCATATTTAGTCGACCTTGATGCTTGCGAATATTTTCCTTAAGAAGTATAAGCAAGAAAGATAACCAATGGATCCTATAAAAAACAAGAGTCAATACTGCATTTGAAGAAATGAGTATACCTGTCATAATAAACAACAAAACACTGATAAGAGAAGAATATCCAAAATAAAGCACAGTGCTTGTAAAGGTATTGATGTTGAGCTTTGTGAAATAATACAAGAAAGAATAGGCATAGACGTAGAAACCTGTGGCACCAGACGTCAAAAAAGCACGCCAAGACCAATGGTAATCTTCGTTACACATATGGAAATAACACATTAAAATAGCCACTTGAGAGCATGTCAAGATCAACACAGCAAACACAAGGAACAAGAAGCCAATACCATAATAGATACGGTGGAACCAAATGGAGTTGAATAAAAAGAAGATTTCAATGAAAATAGCACCAAAGGGCAAGATGCCGCCCATCAAAATAGAAGGAAGTGCACGCATATACAAAGGTTGGTCTGGAATCTGACGAGGAATTTGGTTTGTACGAACAGGATTCTCAATGCGTGGTTTACGAAGGCCGACATAAGAGCCTGCAATACTCAAGGGAAACGAGATAATGACCCAAAGTGCTGCTAATCCAAGCATGGTACCAAAAGGTACAGCACCTGAAGCATTCGAATAGATTAAAAAGAAATTGAGGCCGAGTAGACCACCTACTAGTGTTCTAATCACAAGCATAATTAGTCCTAATTAAGGAATCAGACCCATCTTACCCAGGAACAATGGTTGCAGTCAAGAACATGTTGGCTTTCCATGATTCACCACCAAGCATCTTATAGATACGAGCAGAAGTATATCCAGAAAAGCAACTAAAGATCATAAAGAACAAAATCATCATAGTAGCAAGTGAACCACGATTAGAAGGGGATAAAAATCCAAATACAGCGAAAACAAGTGTTAAGCCTGTCATGGCCATTAATTGAACACCACTACCTGTCAAGACAGACAAAAGCATAGGACGTTGAGGAGGTCTAAAGACATCACCATGGACCAGTTTCCAACCATAGTCTTCTTGTACTTCTTCTTGAGCATCCACTGCATTGTATCTTGAAATATCTTTATGAAGAGCACGTAATAAGATCATGGAAACCATACCAGTCAAGAACAAGACAATAATGATAGAATTGATCAAAGAAAACCAATGAATAGAAGGATCCAACACATGAAGATAACCATCCCAACGAGTAGCCCATACTGTGTCTGAGGGCTTATTACCCAAATTAACAACGATAGTGCCATGTATATTCTACTTACAATCCAATTGACGGAATAGGTGTAAACAACTCTTCCTTTGCCATCTTCAGCTAGATGGAATCGGCTGAGTCCTTCAGAACATTGGTGGCTAGAAGGAGTATCTCTACTATATGGATCAACAGAGACACCAACAACTCGAGACAAACCGCGCGAAGTGACATGGTAATGAATCTTGATATCATAATGGTTGTTCAAGTAAGCAACATCGTTATACACAGAACCTAATTTAAAGCCAATGTTGTAGTACTTTTCATTTGTTTGTACATCAATTTCCTCTGTAGCAGCTGGCAAACCATCCACAGCCCAATTAAAAGCATATCCTTCTTTGATGCGCTCATTAATGAATTTAGCATCTTCTGATGGAATATTGTCTACTTGACACAATAACTTGCACTCTTCAGGTTCTTGCATTTTCAACTAACATCAAAATAAACAACAAAGCCTTAAATATAAATTTACCTCAAAGGCTGAATTAAAGATACGGTCGCCAAAGAGAATAGAGCCAATACTCTCGGATTGTTCTTGCTGCCCGTTTTTAGGTTTACAAAAATGAAACTGTTCGTTATAAAAGTCATATGAGATGACAGACTTGACCTGCTGGTTACTGCTCGGTGTGAGTGTATTAACGTTCAAAGTGACCAACTCTCCCTTGTTATAGTCGTGTGGTGCAACACCTGGTAAATAAAAAGCGTCGCTTACAGATACTGTTACCAAAGACACAAGCAGTGTCTTTATTAGCATCTTATTCATTTTTTCTCGAGAATAAAAAAGAAAGGTATAAAAATGCTTGCTCGATGGGCGCCAATTTTCTGTGTAGCCAATCAGACTCGGGAGCTTTTTTAGGACACAAAGTGCGAGGGACCTGATTGAAGCTTTCTTCGCATTTTGTGTCCTGAAAAAGCTCTCGTATTTAATCCCGCAGGTCATAAATTTCAACTGAATGATTATCAAACAGTTCAGACTTATTGGACTCACGAGCTTAATGGATCAATGGGTCGAATGTAGTTCAACGGGCTATTTTATTTGAATAAACAGTTTAAGAGCACATTGATTATTCATATAACAGAGACACCGGGTAAACAAATGCTTCAACAACGAAAAAAAAGACGTAGCATCTTCTTTTCTTTGGACAATATGAAAGCAGTATAAAACCTGTTTATGCACATATAAATGCTGTGAATAACTACAGACTTTTAGAGTTGATTTGGACCAGAATAGCATCCTCATGAGGTTCAAGCAAAGTAAAAATTCATCAATCTCTATCTAAAGTACTCCAATTTATTCAGTGAATTGCTTGATCCTTCAAAGAGTATGTGTCTATTCCTTAAAACTAAACGATGAGTAAAAGAAAAACAGCTTATGAGATACCTAACATGAAAGCATAAGCAATCTCTATTAGAAATTTGAACCGAAATAGCTGGTCGTATAATTTACCAACATTTTGGCTTTTTTTTATAAGCAAAGATCCTTTTGTTTAGCGTGGGTCAAGTGCATTTTGATAAGATATTATATATCGATACATAACTTGGTAATGTATAAATAATGTATGTAGCAAAAAGTCCAAGCAAATACATGCCTCAACAGCAAAAGAAAAAGAAAAAAGAGGCATCAATTCATGCAGATTTCTTTCTTATTCTTATGCATATAAAGATAGCATAAAGCCTGTTTATACACGCATGAATGCTCCAAATACCTACAGACCATGTCTACTAATATACGAGGTACCTTTGGAGTCGATTTGGACCAAAATGATCATTCGGCCAAAGGCTACTAGTCATTAAAATTATCTGTTTGACAACCCCTTGAGCCTCTTTTTGATGCTACAAGACGAGAAATAGAGCGATTGACAAGCTTACATACTCAAAATGTGTGTCAAAAGCTTTAGTTTCTCGCAAGTGTGTTTGCTTAACAGTTGTGCTATGAAAATAATGAGATATGGACAGAAAACCCTGTAAACATTTTTGCGTATTCACTCAATATTTTAGCAGCAAAGCTGTTGTACTTTTTATATCGCAAACTGCCATCTGGTATGTTCTACATTCATTTAGTCCACATTCGTATTATAAGAATGCCTATTTTTTTCTATTTCTCCATACTTCTTAGTACTCAAGACAATATAAGATGCTTTAGAGAGATCCATTAATTGCAAATTCTATATGGTACTTAGAGCAAAAACGCTCAAAACACAACTTGAACGCACCATTCTTTAGAGTACCATTACTCGACAACCAGACTACCAAATGGCTTCTCTTTTTATTCGAAACATGTTCTTTGAAGTCTAGCAATCAAATGGTACCATTGGTTTGGCTGTCAGGTGAAATCCATTCTTTTGACCCATGGGAGGTTCAGGGAGGTTCAGGGAGGCTCGTAAAGATGGAAAAAAAACAAGAATTTTTCGGAATGACCCAATGTAGGTCTGATCCAACTGAAACCAGATAAGGCAATGTCTGAGTACTTCTAAGATAAAAAAAAGGCCAGTTCATTTGAGCATTGCTTTTAAATCTATATTCAAAGTTCATTGTACACTGTAATTAGTACAAAAGAGACCCTTTTCAATAGGTATTGACTAGCAAGTAGGTACTTCTCTATACATTATCTGATGTGCAGAGTATTTCTAGGTAAGGTCTACTATAACACTCGGCATTTCTGAGGCTAAAGAGAGCAGCTTTCAGCGTAACTAACGATAAATGACTTGTAGATGTAGGGTCTGGCATTTTAAACACCAATCTTTTCTTTTTATGCTTTAATTATGGTTTGTAAATGTTAATAAAGAGAAGACGCTGCACAAGTACAAGATCTAGTCAACGACAAGTACTGGATGTAAATTAAGAAAGACAGCATAGACGAAGAAATGTACCTACCTTTTCAACAGTTAAAAAAGAAAGAAAAAAGAAAAAAGAAAAAGAAAAGTTGCTTGTTGTGTACTACATGATAGCAAGAAATCTAAAATTATGCATGCATAAATGAGCAGATTGAGCCTTCTGACAAGTATAAAGCTGCAGGTGTATAGATAGAATCTATGAAGTAAAAGTCTGACAAGCTCCATGGAGAAAATGTTGTTTATTCTTCACATGTATTTTGCTGTTTTGGATGCATTTACAGCAGTTCTTCGCAGCTGTTTGGCATACATTGTTACTACTTTTTCTCTTATTGTTTAAAAAAAAAAGGCTCATACGCTAGCATTTCATTCATTCAGCGAACGTGTTTAAATGGTGCTTATTTCTCTACTTGTCACTGCTTTAAGCATACTTGCAGTATTTTTATTATTATTGCCATTTCACTGTATCTTTTCAACCTACTTTATGCTTGCGCACAAGTTAACACCAAATCAAACGGGTCACTGCTAAAACCAAGACTCAAATCAAAACAAGCTAAACCAGATCTATTCCTGACATACTAAACGCACCCACGTCTCTCTCTCTCTCTCTCTCTCTCTCTCTCTCTCTCTTTCTTTCACCGAAGACAAGCATGTAAATCGATAATTAATTTCTCTCTTTTATTATATCATTCATAACAATAACAAAAAAAATAGAAGTCTATTAGCCAGCCTTCTCCTCCTTATTACAGAGAAAGAAGACTGTTTCCAAGGGTAACCATCGTGGAGGTTGACTTCAATCTACCCTCTTCTCTATCTTACGGTGCGAGATACCACCCGACACCTCTCTTAGAAAGATAAATCCCCCTAAGAGACGCGTCTCACTGAGAGCCGAAACTCCCAGCAAGATAAACCACCCTGAGAGACAAAGCTCCCAAAGAGATAAACCGAGGGAAGACCATACCTAGCAGATGCGAAGGCCCTAAGGGGTTAATTCGACTAGTGATACAGGATAGAAGTGCGCGTTATGCAAACATAAAAGTGGAAGTGCCTTTCCCACGCAACTTCGTTTTATTTTATTTCAATCCACGTCGAAACCTGCCTAGTGCCATAAAGACAACTTGTCGAAGGATCGCTCACACCTCGTTAGCATCCTCACGGATACCTCACATTCTGGTTGACAGTGCCATCTCTTCCATACCACTTCCCAAAAGAACGAGATGGTAACAAGCGCGTAGAACCGGTAGGCACCCATAGCCCTACACATAAGCCTGCACCCAAGCAAAGACACCAGAACGTGCAATAACAAGAATCACCTTGCCTTCTAGAGAAGAAAAAAGAAAAAAAAAAAAAGAATACGTCTTCCTTGCAGACTTGATATACAAAGTCCGGATTGAACTCAGCTAAGAAAATAATTGGTGTTCTGTATTTGAAAAGGCGTAATATGCAATTTCCAACAAATGGTCATTTTGGCCACTGATCTTTTTTTTTTGTAGGGGAACTATGTTTCTGTTTTATTTAAAGTCCTAAAGATGTCATAATAAGTGATAATTAAGACTGGAGGGGTATGATGTGCAATAAGAAGGGGAGGGGAAAGGTGCATAAGTTTAACTAGTAAGGAAAGTGATTTCAGTCAAAAAGTATTAGTTCTTATTCATCGGATTGTTTAATCAGCAGGCGTTTGATTATGGAGAGTACAGCAGAAAAGGTGAAGGGTGTGGAATCAAAAACCGAACGCCAATGGCTGGACCATAGACCTTCCAATGTGCTAGCGCAGATTTGTTGTGTGGATAGGGCTGGGAATGCAGAATGACTGGAGCGACTGATGGTGGTACGGAGATTGAGGGGTTGTCGTAAGTGGTGAATTGAAGGAGCGGTAAGAGAAGGATCGATATATGTGGAGAGGATTTGACACCAGATTTTGTATTTGACTGAACAAAGAAAGTTGAAATGGTCAAGTGTGTCAATGGTGTTGCGACGTAAGTAAGGACAGTGAATTCATTGAGGGCTAGTGATGAGCTTCGGTAATTTTTGATGTAAGTAGAAGCGAGTGTTGATGGTTTTGTGTAGGAAGCGGAACAAGATGTTGCGGGAGCGATGTATGATTTGAAGTGACCAAAAGGCTTTCCAATTAGGGACAATGTCAAAAGGTGAGGTGGGTGTAGGAATGTGTTGGGGAAGTAAGGCTTTATAACCAGAAACAGCGGGAGGTGCAGGTTTGAAAACTAGTGGTGAGGAGAGAGATTGAAAGTATGTAAGTGTGGTGACATAGGATTGCAGGCAAGAAGGATGAAGGATATTGTAGGTGTTAAGGGGAGGTGTAATCATAGTAGATTCAAGGTGAGCGAGGACAAATGATTTGAGAAATAGTTTTTGTTTGTGGATATGTTTGAATATTTGAAGGGGGATACGACAGTGTTGAGTCAATTTATTGCGTGTGCGGTATTTTATGGATAGAGACTGAGTATCGTGGATGAATAGATCGTAACCAATGAGACGGGAGAGATCAGAGGGTTTGCGGAAAAGACAATCAGGCGGTATAAAGGGAAGGAGAGAAGATGGACCAGAGGATTGTGGGTGATGAATGAAGAGTTCAGAGACAGGAAGACGGAGACAGACTTGAAGAGGGACTTGACAGGATTTGAAACTGTGTGGTAATGAATGGGCGGCTTGAAATATGTTAGCAAAGTAATTGTGAATTAGGGTAGGAGGGTATAAACGACAAGAAGGGAACAGGAGAGACTAATGGTATGTGGGGTGAGTGATAGATGTAAAAAAATAATGTAAACTGAGATGAAGGACTGGAAGGGAAGGTTGGGTTAAAGAATGGAATGTATTGGAGTATAGGAGAGGGTGAAGCCAACGCCATTGAGGAAAAATCCAGGAAATGTTACTGTAATCAAAAGCGGTTTAGGGGAAGAATTGAAAATTATAATTGAAGTCGCCGGCAAAAACAAATGGAATTGTAGTGGTAGAGTGAGAGGAGGACATATCAAAAAGTTCAGAGAAAGGAGAAAATTCTAGCAGATAAGTAAAGGAATTCTGTCGATCACGGCTGACTGCTGGTGCATACATATTAACTAACATAAATGAAGGAAAAAGAGAAGAGGAGTGAGATACTTTTGCTAAAATTACCTTCTGGTCTAAAGTGATAAGGTAAGGAGTGATGTTGATATTGGGGTTGAGACTGACTATCCCACAGTGTTTGGTCCATATAGAAACCTGACATTGAAGTTGCATATCAAGTCGTTGTTGGGTTTTGAGAGATTGGCCATGAGTTTCCTATAAGCATAAAATATTAATAGAGGGGGAATGGGTGCGTAGAAATCGTGTAAAGTCGCTGCTGCTTTGAAGTTGTGATGGTTTGGCTAGGCTACGACAATTGAGTGAGCATAGAGAGAGGTTAGTAGTAAGATTGTTCATATTATTTATACTTAGAAAGGAGCGTATATCCTTATTATCAGAATTTTGAGACATATTATTGAGGTGAAGGCGGTTGACCTTCACCGGCAAGGTTAATTGTGCTGTTGTGGTTGTCACTTGCGTCAGATAGAGGTTGATTTAGGTCGGTGAAGTGTGAAGCAGCGGTATCCATATCCATATCTGTATTGGAACTCTCTTGTCGATCGTCACTGAGGATAAGATCCATTTGTTCTTGTGTAATCCATTGCCATTTGTAGAAAACCCGGGCCACTGCCTTGTTGATAGAAGCACGTAAGTAAGTAATGGTAGGAAGTGCTCTTTGATTGTTCAGGCGGTATGCTTCAATAGTTCGAGTTTTGTCATCTTTGTCTTTGAAATCCGGATTCTGGACAACAGAGTAATGTAGTAGATTAAAATCCCCCTTGATTTGGATACCACATTTGACGGTAAGTACTTTGGCTTCCTCCAAATAGTCGTTATGAACGAGGATCGCCACCGCGCCATGAGCTGAGTAATAAATATCGAGGATACGTGCATGGTCAAGACCTAGTTGATGCAATCGATTACGCATGTCTCGAAGAGGTAAACGGTGGCGATTGGGTAAGTATAAGTATTGAAATCCTTGCGATTCAGATACTGGAGTGAAAGGACGAGCAATTAACATGAGTTGTCTGTTGGAGAGTTTTGTTCTAGACGTCCTACGTTGGGTAGGTGTACGAGTTACAGAAGCAAATGCCTTTTGGTGGCTAGGGAGTTTTTGTTCAAGAGCATATTTAGAGGTGGTTCTTGGTACTCCTAATGTATTGAGCGAAGAAAAGTCAGCCTCGTTACCTGCGGTAATAATTTCCTTCATGTTTTCATCATCATGAAGAGCGTTGTTGGAGTAGGAAGCTTTCGAGTAACTTTTCCAGTCTTCTGTGCGACTGGATAAAATCTTCGAGGGTTTTGTTGGTTGCAGCTAATTCAGATCTGAGTTGTGCATTGTCGGCTTCGTATTGAAGAAGTCGCTCTTGCATTTGAAGCATGTCTTCTTTCGTAGGTTGTGTTTCCTGAGTGTCAGAGAGCGCGACGGCTCTGTTTCGGGTTACAGGGGTGTTGTAAGGAACTACCGAGAATTTCTTAAGTACTGTAACTTTGTCTGCTGCCATCTTGTTTGTGAAGGGTTTTAGAGATGTGTTTTTTTCTGGAGCGTTTTCTTGAAGAAGACGAGATGAAAGCTCGATTGGTTTAGGAGTCAGAGTTTGTTTGTGTTCGATGATATTATTCGTGTCTGTGGCTTTGGAGGATCTAGTATCGGTTATCTTGCTGAGAGTTCGGGAGGTAGTAACGATGGGTGATGTTTGATTGTTGAGGATAGTTGTTGACAAGATATCTGTATTTGATAGTGTTCTCGGAGTTTAAAAGGCGCTAAAGTGTTCTTTAGCGGAGAGAAAAAGTGGCCTCTGATCCAAAGGGTACTAGTCGTGAAAATATTCAAGTTGACAACTCTTTGAGCTTCTTTTTGACGCTACAAGACGAAAAGTAAAGGTATAGGCAAGTTTGAATTCTCAAAATGTGCGTCAGAGGCTGTAGTTTTTGGCGAATGTGCTTGCTTCTCAATTGTACTATAAAAATGGTAAGATATGAGTGAAAAAACTTGCAAACATTTTTGCCTATTTGATCAATATTTTAGCAGTAAATTTTTTGTGCTTTTTATATCAATAGACTCAAAGAAAAAATAGCTACAACTCTTGTCACTGCACCATAGCCAAAAACTGAGTCTTTATTCAATTTATTTTTTCTTAAATGATTTTACTTGCCACACGTATTTTGTAGCACCGTAGGGCTACAAGAAAGAGGTGCTCGACACTGATTTATTGAGAAAATATAAGAGATAAGAAAATTAAAGATGAAACAGGAACTGTGTAAAATAAAAGAAAGAAAACCATGCGAAAAAAAAGGGAGGGGGAAGAAATAAGAGAAATGAAGGAATCAGTCGAGACAGTTTGTCTCTTCAGCAGCGCGGCGGCCAACTGCCCGGAGGGTTTGACTGAAGGTTATACTGGCAAGAAAAGGTTCTCTTCGATGGATATTAGTCCAATGGGTCTTTCAAAGCTCTGAGAGTGCAATAATAAGGAGCGTTTCAACTTCAATGGGACAAGACTTATTGACGTTGATTCTCTCAAAATCCAAGGATTGAAGAGTGGAGGAGATATCGCCGATAGAGGTGCCAGGCCAAAGGAATTCACGAAAAATATTACGCCTTTTCAAATACAGAACACCAATTATTTTCTTAGCTGAGTTCAATCCGGACTTTGTATATCAAGTCTGCAAGGAAGACGTATTCTTTTTTTTTTTTCTTTTTTCTTCTCTAGAAGGCAAGGTGATTCTTGTTATTGCACGTTCTGGTGTCTTTGCTTGGGTGCAGGCTTATGTGTAGGGCTATGGGTGCCTACCGGTTCTACGCGCTTGTTACCATCTCGTTCTTTTGGGAAGTGGTATGGAAGAGATGGCACTGTCAACCAGAATGTGAGGTATCCGTGAGGATGCTAACGAGGTGTGAGCGATCCTTCGACAAGTTGTCTTTATGGCACTAGGCAGGTTTCGACGTGGATTGAAATAAAATAAAACGAAGTTGCGTGGGAAAGGCACTTCCACTTTTATGTTTGCATAACGCGCACTTCTATCCTGTATCACTAGTCGAATTAACCCCTTAGGGCCTTCGCATCTGCTAGGTATGGTCTTCCCTCGGTTTATCTCTTTGGGAGCTTTGTCTCTCAGGGTGGTTTATCTTGCTGGGAGTTTCGGCTCTCAGTGAGACGCGTCTCTTAGGGGGATTTATCTTTCTAAGAGAGGTGTCGGGTGGTATCTCGCACCGTAAGATAGAGAAGAGGGTAGATTGAAGTCAACCTCCACGATGGTTACCCTTGGAAACAGTCTTCTTTCTCTGTAATAAGGAGGAGAAGGCTGGCTAATAGACTTCTATTTTTTTTGTTATTGTTATGAATGATATAATAAAAGAGAGAAATTAATTATCGATTTACATGCTTGTCTTCGGTGAAAGAAAGAGAGAGAGAGAGAGAGAGAGAGAGAGAGAGACGTGGGTGCGTTTGGTATGTCAGGAATAGATCTGGTTTAGCTTGTTTTGATTTGAGTCTTGGTTTTAGCAGTGACCCGTTTGATTTGGTGTTAACTTGTGCGCAAGCATAAAGTAGGTTGAAAAGATACAGTGAAATGGCAATAATAATAAAAATACTGCAAGTATGCTTAAAGCAGTGACAAGTAGAGAAATAAGCACCATTTAAACACGTTCGCTGAATGAATGAAATGCTAGCGTATGAGCCTTTTTTTTTTTAAACAATAAGAGAAAAAGTAGTAACAATGTATGCCAAACAGCTGCGAAGAACTGCTGTAAATGCATCCAAAACAGCAAAATACATGTGAAGAATAAACAACATTTTCTCCATGGAGCTTGTCAGACTTTTACTTCATAGATTCTATCTATACACCTGCAGCTTTATACTTGTCAGAAGGCTCAATCTGCTCATTTATGCATGCATAATTTTAGATTTCTTGCTATCATGTAGTACACAACAAGCAACTTTTCTTTTTCTTTTTTCTTTTTTCTTTCTTTTTTTAACTGTTGAAAAGGTAGGTACATTTCTTCGTCTATGCTGTCTTTCTTAATTTACATCCAGTACTTGTCGTTGACTAGATCTTGTACTTGTGCAGCGTCTTCTCTTTATTAACATTTACAAACCATAATTAAAGCATAAAAAGAAAAGATTGGTGTTTAAAATGCCAGACCCTACATCTACAAGTCATTTATCGTTAGTTACGCTGAAAGCTGCTCTCTTTAGCCTCAGAAATGCCGAGTGTTATAGTAGACCTTACCTAGAAATACTCTGCACATCAGATAATGTATAGAGAAGTACCTACTTGCTAGTCAATACCTATTGAAAAGGGTCTCTTTTGTACTAATTACAGTGTACAATGAACTTTGAATATAGATTTAAAAGCAATGCTCAAATGAACTGGCCTTTTTTTTATCTTAGTAAACTCGCTTTCTTTTTCTTAGAAGTACTCAGACATTGCCTTATCTGGTTTCAGTTGGATCAGACCTACATTGGGTCATTCCGAAAAATTCTTGTTTTTTTTTCCATCTTTACGAGCCTCCCTGAACCTCCCTGAACCTCCCATGGGTCAAAAGAATGGATTTCACCTGACAGCCAAACCAATGGTACCATTTGATTGCTAGACTTCAAAGAACATGTTTCGAATAAAAAGAGAAGCCATTTGGTAGTCTGGTTGTCGAGTAATGGTACTCTAAAGAATGGTGCGTTCAAGCTGTGTTTTGAGCGTTTTTGCTCTGGATGTCATATAAAATATGTGAAAGATTAATTTTTGTAAAGCATCTTATGCTATTTTGAGTGCCAAGGAACATAAGAAGATAAAAGTATAGGCACTTTATAATATAAATGTGGGATGGATAGACATAGAATATGCAGGATGGCTTTGTGCGGCGAATGAAACAGATCATATGAAAATTCACCCAAAATCTGATTGCAAGTAGCGGCTAGAACTATTGTGTCTGCTAATCAGTCGTCATCATTAGCTTCTACTTCTTCATTTGCACGCACCTCTGATTTTTCCCAGTCAAAGTATGCTAGTAACAACACTCTTTCTTCAGGCGCCATTGCGCCTTATATTGTCGGTTTAGAAAAAGATAGTGTTTTGATTGATATCACTAATATTCGTGATATAAATGGCCTTAAACAGTTTCTTGGGTCACTCAATACAAATGAAGAGTATTATTTTTTTGGCACTTTACTTGTTGAACGCAAATATTTGCAGAGACGCTTTATTGAAACATGCTGGAATATCAGCTCAGAAGTGTACAGTAAATTGGTCAACTCCGGTTTGCAGATGGAAGATAATACGATGATCAAAGGCTACCACAGCTTGCCCCAAACGCCAAAATTGCTCGAGTTAAGGTTGAACGACTCCCCCTCATTCATTCTTCAACTCTCCGCGAGCAAATGAAAAAACGTTTTCCCATTTTGGTGAAGTCCTGGATCTGGGATTTTATATAGACGGTGCTGTATTTTTTGGCCAGGGATATGTCGTTCTTGATCTGAACAATCCTCACAAGAATGAGCCTGAGCAACTTAGTCGAGTAGGATGAACTCTTTGTTCAGGGCCTCTTCACGTTCTTTAGTGGTTCGAAAGTTAATTTCGACAAAGTGTTGCTTTTGACCAATGTTTCTTGTAAGAAGACCGAGTCCATTAGGATACTACTCTCAAAGGTGCTTGTTCAAACTTTTCTCCCTGAAGTTCATTCCCTTAAATTCACTAGTAGCAATGACAATGGAGTTTTTGGTTGTAGCCTCGAGAAATCGTTTATGAGACTGAAGCGATTGGTGATCAGCTGTTTGATCGTCGAGATCGAAGACATGTCGACTTTAAGGTCTTACAGTTTGTGCGTAGGATCGAAATGTAAACAGTTGGTTGTTGGGATTATGGCATGAACTGTTGGTATTTCCACCAATCAGATCCCGTTTTCAGAAAAAGTGTTGCTTAGCGTAGAAACCACGATTGAAGATTTCGTAAAAGGGATCATAAGGTCAAAATGACTTTTTCAAAACTTACTATATTTTTGTATAAATATATTCATTTACGAATGCTTAAACATAAGGAACTCAAAAGAAAGGAATTAGAAGACAGAAATGATGATTTATTTTGAAAAGCATTCGCACCTGCAGCTAATCAATTTTATCCAAAAATGAGTTGTAAGGAAAGCTAGTTTATAAACCAAAATTGCATAATAAGTTTGATACTCGAAAAAGGCATAAAAGCATATTAAGTGTGTAATGTGCCAATGAAATCAAAAGTTATTTTGTGATCACATAGTATATATATAGTTTTAGTATATCGAAATATATTGATTTTAGTCTTTGCTATGGTTATGTTTTTGAACAAGGTCATTATTCACTGTGCTATAATGTGCATTTTTAAGAGAAAAACAGGCCATACAACGACTATAACTATAGATGAATTAACCAGAGTTTTTCTGGTATCTCCTAATATTGAAAGTCAACAATATGTCTAATATTAGTTGGCATGGGTTATTCGCACAGTAAGCATACCCTTTGAATAAGCAAAGTTTCCATACAAAGGATGCTCTATAAAGGCAATGATATTGACCTTTTCGCTTGTAACTTTTCGTAAAGTAGCTATTAGGTTGTTCTTTAAGGTTGCATCACAAGACCCCCTTCATAGAATGATTTCAAAAACCGCGACATTACTTATTTTTTTCTTTTCTCCTTTTCAACCATCGAAATATGCCTGAAGGAGCAGGGTTTTCGTTATTCCCTTATCAATATGTCAGTTCTCGAGTTATAGCAGCAGCAGCAGCAGTAGCAGCTTCTTCCTCTTCCTCTTCTTACTCTTCTTCGACATCTGCAGCAACACTGCTTCAATCACCTTCTTACTTCGGACATATCGTTTTGCAATTCACAAGGCAAGTTATGCGACCCAAAGTAGTGCTGCCCATGTTATTTGTGATTGTATTGCTATTCGATTTAGATGGCTCACTCGATATAGACGATGAATTCTTTTTGGAAGAAAGCAATGAAAATAATGAACAAAACCTTTAATAATAAATCATGATCTGATATGTATGTGTCACAATGCTGACAAAGAAAAATACGTCTTTGTAGGGTGTGAATATGATGCATTATTTTCTTTTTCTTCTACTCTATGAATAACGGTCAATACAAAACTATAGAAAACCATTCAACTAATGTAATGGTTCGTTTACAAAAGTTTCCAGAGCATATTCATCCTGCTTTTCAAGGAACAAAACACGTCTTCCAGAAATATTCACCAATGCAACATAAAGAAAACGTATTCAATCCATCCATGATTAGCCCTATGTTTTATGGTTACTCTACTACACCTCCTTATCAAAAAAGTAAAATATAATTTATTATGCATTAAAAGAGAGGAAAAAAAGAGAGGAAATGGTATATATCTATCTATCTATTTGTAGCGAATATAAAGGGTTATTTGATGGACTTTTTCTTCCACCATTTACTTGTACGATTTGTTTGTTCATTTTCAACTATATCATCCAATTCATGTATGGGTGATTTGCGTCCTGTGTAGCTGTTTGTGTTGTGATTAGAAAGGATTCTGGAAAAAGAGAATTTCTCGCGTATTTGAGAGGATACAGTGGCCATTGGTTTAGGACCATTGTGATGCGAAGCCAAGGATGTCAATGAGGTTCTTTGTTGATCTGTTAGTTTACGATTGCTATTGACCTAATGGTAATACTTAGTTTATATATACACATTGAATTGTATACCTTACATCTAATTTACATTGTTTGTGACAAACAAATCCACAAAAGTCTTTGCATACAAAAGCTGCATGTTTGATATCTGTATTGCATATCTTACATTGTCCAGCACCTTTTTTCAGAAATGTCAGTATGTACTTGTACAGTACGCTAATTACCTTTTGGAAATGAGCATTCAATCAGACTATGGACATGCTCCTGATGATGTTCTTGAGTGTTTGCAATAATGGTAGGCATAGATTGTCTGTCCAAGGAAGATGCTTTTTTCTGCTTCTGATGATTAGCTAGCTTACTAATCACTTTACTGCCATTATGATTAATGATCAGAGAAGGCTTATCAGTCAGAGAGTAACTATTGCTGTTTTGTGTGATGGTAAATTGGTCTGTTTTATGAGTTGTGTTTTGTAAGTAATTGTTTAGCACTGTGCTGTTACTCTTAACAGGTGTTGCCCTTTGAGTAATCCAGGGATGGTGCAGCAAGTGAATAGCCTTTGGTCTCTCCACTGGGTTCTTTTTGAAGCATAGTTTAAGGAAATCAATCAAGTCCTATTGAGTTAAATAAGAACCTGGCTGTATAAAAGGATATAGACTCACATCTGAGATGTTGTCTGGTAAAGGAGGACAGTCGTCTTCAACAATTTTAAACATGGCAGTCATGGTAATTAACTCTGCATAAGGTGGTTTGCCTGTACATAGTTCAACAATAGTGCATCCTAATGACCTATGAAATGGATGAGTAATTGGTTTCAAACTTAAATCTATTTACCAAATGTCAGATTGAACTGATACTCCTTTTAGTTCAATAACCTCAGGCGACACTAAAATACACAAGTTAAAACAAATAAAATAAAACTGGATTCTTACTCCAAAAAGGTGTACCAGACACCATGTTGTCCTCATCTTGACTTTTAAGCTTTAGGCTTAGAGAAACACCAAAGTCAGATAATTTGACATCTCCTGTTTTAGTCGTCAAAATGTTGGCTGCTTTCAGATCACAATGTACAACATCCTGTTGATGTAAATAGGCCAATCCTTGTAGAATATCATGACAGTAACTAGCCACTAAGTTCTCTGGTAAAGCATTGCCAAAATGCTTAAGTGTATGCAACAGAGAGCCATTCTCGACAAACTCAAGTACAATATTCATATGGTCTTGTGTTTGAATAAAGCCTTCATATTTGACAATATTTGAGTGTGTCAATGAGCTTAAGAGGGAAGCTTCTTGCATCATATCTTCTATATCGCTTTTGCGTGCGTCCTTTAGACTTACTTGCTTTATTGCAACTGTTTTACCCGAGATTAAATCAAGGGCTCTAATGAAAAGTAGGTTTAAGAAAGGGAAATAGGAGACATCATTTAGCCGACTTACCTATATACTGTACCAAAGTGTCCTTTGCCAATGACATTCCCTAGTTTCTAAAAAAAAAAAAATAAGCACAATAAAACATCAACAAAGCACTTACATAGCGAGCAACAACATTGCCTTGTTCATTCGACAATTCTAAATTGTTGTCTCCCACAGCATTTAAACTCGAAGAAACCGATTTTTGTGGTATAATAGTTTTTTGTTCAGGTATGGACTTAATTGATTGACATTGGCTATGAATCTGCTTTTGTTCAGTCTTGGAGGGCAATAAAACTCGAGTTAACGAAGCATCTGTTCTTCTTCTAGGGCGATTTTTAGTAGGGCTCTGAACCTGAATTGTAGGAGGCAAACAAGGCTCAATACGGTTTTCTTCCAAGAAATTTAGCAAAGATAACTGCTCATTCTTTTCTTTGGCTGATTTAAACAAATCCTCCTCATAAGGCCTTCGAGAGTCAATAGTACTGTGTTGTTGATTTTGGCTAGACCATGTTTGGAACTTTATAAAGTGTGGCTCCTTGCTTGATTTGTTCTTTTTTTTGGAAAATAAGAGTGAGAGCTTACTATGTGTAGATGCCGGAGTGCTGGGCGGATGCATTTTCAATGAAGGAGGTGTTGCTATTTGTTGCTGTTGTACATCCGGCGTTGTGGGAATAGGAGCAAATAATGACTCAAATAAGTCCTGCACTTTTTGCTCTTCTTCTTTTACTGCTTTACGATTGGTTTTTCGTCTGGCCGCTGTTCCATAGCCACTATCACCCGAGAAAGAAGGTGTATGACTTTTTTTTGTGTCATATGTGTGTTCATCTTCATCGTCTTCATCTTCGTCCTCTTCCTCCTCTTCATCATATTGAATTGGTAATGTGTAATCTTCTTCTTCTTCGTCCCGGAAATCTGAAATGTTGAATGGGCCAATGCCTGGTATACAATTGGGTCGCTGAATGTCAAGTGGTGGAGGGTTATCCCAACTGGATCTTTTTGCTTGATTTGTGCCCGAAGTACTAGAGAAAGATAATTCCTCTTTGATATTGACATTTGAGTACATTTTTGCAGTGTGAATGGCGTCCAGCTCCTCTTTACGATGACGATGCTCCTTACAAGACTCCTGCTCCTGATGATTCATCGTATGAGATGTCGTTTCTGTAGTATCCTTCATAGCAGTGGTGGAAACCATATTATAATTAAGATTAGGTTCTGTAACCGACAGACAGGCTTCACTCTTTGATTTATGAATGGGTCTAGGTGGATATTGCTGAGTTATGTCTGATTGAGATCGAGTTGGAATAATGATGATAGGTGATAATTTCTCTGCGAATATTTTACACGAATATGCTAGTATCGAAATAGTTGATACTACCTGTAAAAAAAATTAGGAAAGAAAAAAGAAAAAAAAAGGTGAGTCTGCGAAGAAATTTAAAGGAGCAAAGAAAAGTATAAAGTTGGATTTCATATTACTTACAGCATTCATATTCTCTTCATTAATCAGGTCATTTATACTAAACAGATCGTTTTGTTGTAGACCAAACTAGACAAAAATGAACAAAGGTTATTCTATCTCATAAATTAAATCATCTCTTTTCCTTCTTTTTTTTCTCTTGACTTACACTCTGTACTGTTTGCAAAAAGAAAGCAATTCTAGCTCTCTACAATTATGTCAGTAATTTTCTTTATTCTTCATTCTGATCTATCCCTTTCTTTTGCTCAAACATATTTTTTCTCTCTTTCTCCCTCTCTTTCATCCTCTCCTATTTTTGTATAAACTATCTTTACCGGATCATTCTCAATATTCAGGTCCAATGGGTCTTTGTTATGGCTGAGTAATATTCGAGCAATTCTATTGTAATCATGATTAGTGGGCTCTTTAAAAGGGAGATAGGTCTATTATGCACGTACTCGAAAAGAGCAACTCCGTCTTTTAAGCAAGAAAAGTCGTTTGAAGGCAACTGTTGACCTGTGATAGTTTCAATCCAATATTTCGCAAGCATTTTTTGTTTGGCGTAAGTATATAAATTTTCATGCGATAATTGAGCTTGATGCAAAGAGCAAGTCATTATCAAAAAGAAAAGATAAAAAAAAAAAAGCGAGAAAAGGAGTGTGCCCTCTGAAACAAAATAATTACACCTGCTGAGCGTCAATTCAAAACAGTTGCTACTTAGAAATAAATGTTGCCAAGCAACGCCTGTACCGATTTGGATTTGCAGTCCGAATTAATTTAGGATCCATAAATAGCTTTTTGTCTAATTTAAAATACATTCCCCTTTTCTTCTTCCTCTTTATACTTTTCTCTTCATTGTATTATTATCATTGTCATGTATATTTCATCCTTAGCTGTTCTTGCTCTTGCTACTGTCTCTGTAAGCGCACAACAGCTCTGTAACGGCTATGCCGAGTTTTGCAATAAACATTATAATTCATTGACTTATCTCTTGACACACAATGCTTATGGTTATGTTGCTAATCCAGCTTCGAATCAAGCGTGTCCTATTCCCACTCAACTCACTGATGGTGTCCGAGGTCTCAAGTTGTCTGCTATCAGATCATCAAATGCAACTACAGCAGGCACGGATGCCAATAGCATCCAACTGTGTCACACATCATGTACTATCTTAAATGGAGGTTCGGCCGTGGATACGCTCACTAAAATCACAGAATGGGTCAAAGCAAATCCCAATGAAGTCGTCACTATTATGTGGAACAATTTGGGCAACTTCACTCCAACTGCTTTTGAAGCTGCCTATAATGCAAGTGGTCTGACAGACTATGTTCATACGCAAGCCTATGGTAACTTGACATGGCCAACACTAGGCGAAATGATTAGCAGTGGCAAACGGGTTGTAAATTTCGTAGATGAAGGCACAGATACACATCAAGTTGCTTGGTAAATATTTATTTACCCCTTAATTTCTCTAACTCTTTTTTAGGCTATTACCAGAATGGGACTTTTGTTTTGAAACACCTTACAACAATAAGAACGAATCTTCTTTTAGTTGTACCATTGATAGACCTACTGAACCCAACGATCCTACTGAATCCTTATATATAATGAATCACTTTTTGTATGGTACATTGAGACTTGGTGCACTCGAGATTGAAATTCCTCAAAAAGGCACAGCCAATGTTACCAATGGTAACTCTTCTCTTCTTGCACAAGCTCAACAGTGTAAATCTACTTTTGGCCGTCAACCCACCTTTTTAGAGATCGACTTTTATAACAAGGGAAACACGCTCGAGATTGCTGCCGCATTAAACAATGTGAGTTACACAAGACCTTCTCAACTTCAATGTGATGTCTATGAAGCCACTGCTTCTACAGGCGGATCAGGAAGCTCTTCCGATGCCAGTACTTTGATGTATAGTTCCACTGTCCTACTATCTTTAGTAGCAACTGTATTTTTTACTTGTTTATAGATTCTTGTACTTCTATTTTTAAATGTGAACAGTCCATGTGGGCGCGTAAATAAATAAACCATTTTTTTAGATTAAAAAAAATGCCAATCCTTTTTTTTATTTTAGGGTGAATGATGTCACAAGAGGTACGGCATGCTTAATTGATATGAATATATACAATGTTTACCTTGGGCCAATCAAAACACATTGTTAGAAAGTGAACATGATAATCTGTTAGGCCAAGTTATTTTAAGTAATCATCTTGCTCGACGATGATTGGCAGTTATCATTGATCGAGACGGACAGCTGCTGGAACTGAATTTTTTTTAGACTTATAAAAATTAAATGGTCCATATCGTCTAATCCTTCCCTTTGTGTTTTTGCGATAACCCATCCATCCATCACCTTTCGAGGCATCCATCGCAATCAAGCTCTTTTATTAGATATGTCCACTTTTTCCAAGAACCTTTTCGACGTCCTCGGCGATGGTGAGGTCCCTCGCCCTGCTGCTCCTGTCAAGGAAGAAGCTGCTCCTGTTGTTATTGACAAGAAGAACGTTGCCAAGATCAACAAGGATGGTAAATATTAATAGAGAAAGAGAAAAGAAAAGAGAGAACAAGCCATTCAAGTATATATCGCCAAACTAAGACAAGCCATGCACAAAAAAAAGAAGAAAAAAAGCTTATTTTAGGACCTAACCTCAATAAGTGTTATTGAGTTTGACACCATTCTAGCATCATTACAACAATATACACCGAGAATAGAACAGTATTGGATCTTATTGCTTGATTGCTTGTATCTTTTTCTCTTCTCTTTATTTTAAATTAGGTATTGACCAAAAAATTTTTCATTTAGCTGCTCGTGCTTCCAAGGGTGGTAAGCCTACCAAGGGTCGTCAACAAAAGGAAGGTCGTCCCCAACGTGGCCGTCAATTCGACCGTCACTCTGGTACCGGTATTGTGTAAGTATAGAAGAAAAGAAGTGGTCTGTTATATCTGACACACTATGTTATAGTGATACTGAAAAGAAGATCAACAAGGGTTGGGGTAAGGCCGGAACCTCTGAAGCTGAAGGTGCCAAGGATACCTTGAGCCCTGCTGACCCCGATGCTCCTGAACAAGAAGTTGCTGATGCTCCTGTTCAAGAAGAAGAAAAGGTCAAGACTTTGGATGAATACTTGGCTGAAAAGGCCAACAAGTCTTTGAAGGTTTCTCTTCCTGAAGCCCGTAAGGCCAACGATAATGATGAATCCGCTTTCAAGGGTACCGTTGCCTTCTCCAAGGAAGAATTTGAAGAATTCTACGTTAGCAAGGAAACCAAGACTGTCAAGAAGACTACTACTGAAAAGACCCGTAAGGAAAAGGTTTTCGTTGATATTGAACAACGTTTCCAAGAAAAGCCTCGCGCTGAATTCCGCAAGAACGACCGTCGTGGTCGTGCTAACAACAACAACAAGGGCCGTCGTGGTCCTAAGGGCTCCAACAACGGTCCTGCTGTCAACCTTCAAGATGTTACTGCTTTCCCCACTCTTGGTGCTACTGCCTAAATTTTTTCTTAAAAAAAGAATTTGATTTTAAATAAAACACAATATTACACTTATTTTTGGAATGTGTGAAGGGGGTAGAAAAGCTTATTGTGTTTGTTTTAATTGTCAAGGAGAATATTGTGATGAGGAGGAAGAAAAGTGAGGGAGGGGGTGGAAAGCTTTATATTACAATTTGCGTACATGCAGCTATATTGAATTATTAATTTACTCCTAAACATTTCTGTTTTCTTTTTTTTTTTGTTGACTGGTTTAAATAAAATCGACAGGTTGATGTGCTTGCATTTATAGTCAAGCAAAATTTTTCTATTTTCATTTGTTTTTTTCTTCTTCTTCTTCAACATGAACAACAAACGAAACCCTAAAAAACTCGCCTTGAATATTTCGAAAAAGCAAGGATCTTTTACAAGACACAAAACAGATGACTATCAAACAGGTCCAGCATGTATTCTACCCAACTTGTATTTGGGTGCATACCACAATGCACTAGATACAGCTCAATTAGAACGACACCGGATCAATTGTATCATTAACGTGGCCTGTGAGATCACTATCAAGACTATACCTCATCACATCACCTATCATCATTTTGCATGGACACACAGCCAGCAAGACCTGGCTAAATCAGAATTCACTCGAGCTATCAGTTTGATCTATCAAGCACATAGTCAACACCAAACAGTTCTTATTCATTGTCAACAAGGAATTGAACGATCTGCTGCTCTTGTGGTCGCATTCCTGATACACTTATCTTCTTCTGCTCGTGTATGGTCATTAGATGATACATTGCGGTTTGTCAAGACAAAAGCACCTGGCATTCGACCCAATATGGAGCTAATTTATCAGCTAAGAGAATATGAACGCTCTCTGACTGTAAAAACTAGACCACGCAGGTCAGAATCTGTTAGCGATTTCAATAATGTACAACTCAAGAAACGACAAAGATCTATCAGTTGCAGAGATGAATGGTCAATGTCTCAGTCGTCCAGTGAAAACAAAAAACAGCACGTGACAATTGATACCAATAAAAAAAAGGCTCTAGCCATCACGTCCACACTTGTCATACTAGCAGCTATCTATTACCAAAAAAAGCACAATGATTCCTCCCTTAATTATTTATTCAACATAGAAAAACCAGTTTATCCTATTTTTTAATTTCCAATTGTGTAAAAATAAAAAATTGTAGGCGGAGTTGGCGTCTTGAAGATGAAGCTTGCATTAACAATGAATTTCTGATTAATTTTGCACTTGCTGGTTAAAAATAGATTAAGAAGGTTCTCTTATTCCTTCTTTAGATCTAAACATGAAACAAAGGTATCTGATAAAGGTTCTCAAGTTAGTTTGTTGAGATAAGAGAATTATGTTTCGTCTTTTTCTTTTTATTGTAAATATAAGGGTGCAAGAAGAGGAGTGACTACAAAGTGAGGGCATGGCTTTGAAAGCGGTCATTAGATGCTGAGACTGCTACATATGGATTGTACAGCTTGTACATTCAATGAGGAAATCTCGTCTGTTCTTTGTCTTTTTTTTTTCTGCTAAAATTTAGCTTGGTTGACAATAAAGTAATATTTATTCTCTTGGTACCAAAACAAAAGTTAATAAAAAATCTAACTTAGAAATATACGGAATTAAGATGACACTCAGAGCATTTGTTTTGATTGAGCTCAGTTATAACATGTATCTTAATGGATTGTTCTTGCTTCCGTTCCGCAACGAACAACACAATTCCTTTTCGTAATACTAGTACACTTTATTGAAATAAGCAAAAATTAAAATATTGTTACTTACATTGGATTATAAGAGCAGAGAATAGAAGGGAGGTAAAAGAGCGAAGCAAATTAGTAACAGATATGAACCAGTATATATAAAATACCTACATGGATATGAGAAGGTAGTTAAATACCTCCCTTACTATATTCCCATTACATGCATACTACTACACGCTTGACCAACCAATACCAAGCTGTGATTGATGCCAAAGGCTGTACCACCAAGTACTAAACTACAATATCTTAAAACAAACATCTCAACAAATCATCCACAAAAAACTGAGCGCGTTTGAGTATCGTCTTGGCATATTAAAAGGCTCTTGGATCATAATACCTTTGTTACTGAGTTCGAATGACGAAAAACTGGGCTAATTTTTATTTTAGGTCAGTGTATAAGCAACTCTTTTTTTAGAACATGTATTCTCCCAGGCATGTTTGTCTTACCAAGTTGTATGAGTCCGGACCTTTTCATATATAAATAAAGGAGAAGGTTGCATGAAATTCGTTTCATTTGGCGTCATTTTATTTTAAACAGAGAAAAGGAGACTCTTCTCTCTCTTTCTTTATCTCTACAATGGAAAGAAACGCTACCAACTGTGACCATGAACCTGCTATTCATGGCCAATCGCCTTGCTTTTATACTAAAGACAACGTATGTAATGAAATAGTCTCAGATAAAAAGCATCCCTTCTGTTGTCATATCAAGGAACCGGAGATTTGTGGACAAGCACCTACTTTTTATTGTGGCAATGAATGTAAGAGACCAAATGATAATGAACAATCCAATAAATGAAGTACGCTACATGTATTGGACTCCCTAAGGTGGGGAGAAAATAGTTATAGTCGTTGGGTATATTTAGGATGAAATTCTATATAATAAGTAATCTCGAAATAAAGACAGTTCAAGCTTACCTGATTCATCAAGAATCACTTCTTCTTCAAAGCATTTGTTAATCCATTCCAAGGTGACAAAACGAGGTAGAGGTCTATTGACAAACACATTGGTTAATTCTTGTAATCGATCTGGACCATTCATGACAATATGCGTTATACGCTCGTCATGAATATCCTGAGTTACTTGGCCTGCTTCAAATTCGAAGCATGCTTTGGCCATTTCCATCGCCTCAGTCTTTTTCTTCCATTCTACCCAGGCCAAGTTAATGGGCGATGGCTGCGTAGGAGACATGCTTGTATCAAAATCAAAATAGGCAAGTGAATTCAGAAACACCATACCACTGATACCTTCTGTAAAATACCGTTCTTGAAGTTGCAGGGCAATGTCTCTGCGATCTTTATCGTCATATTCTTCTGTAGGATTCATTCTTTCCATAATCTCGTCCAGATCTCCAGCTTTAACAGGCTTTGTATAAGAATCGCCATAAGGATCCATCTTTTTGGCAAACATATTGGCTGTTTCAGGTGAAGTATAAAGCATGTATTTGGGTTGAATAGGTAATAGTCGACCTGCTTCAATGCTGTCCATAATATAATTGGGAAGTAAAATGTCTTTGTTTTTGACATACTGAATGATACTCTGGACTCGTGAATTCGTGACACCTGCAATCAAAATGTCTGCATTCTTGTTCTGAGTGTATTCACCACCATTTGCCTTAATCAGAAGATCAAGTTCGTCTTTAGAGATACCAGGCTGATGTTTGTTCACTTTAGCACCTGTAATCACAAAAAACTTGGTGTTTTCAAAAATGGTTGTGTGTTGAACAACTTGACTAGAATCTACTCCACGTTGACTGGCCAATAAAACGGTACCTCGTCTTGCTTTTTTACCTTTCACTCGATCAATACGATCATGAGCGGCTCTTTTTTTGCCTACAGCTCCCTCTGCTTTAGCGTTGACCGCGTCAGTATAAGTCATGATATCTTGCCATCCCTTATCATGTCGAAACCCTTTCATCACAGGAAAACGCAAGGTGGATTGCAAGCCAAATTTGGTTGAGTCTACGATCTCAACGCCCTTCACTTCGACTACAATGTTGTCTTGATAGTCTACTATAATATTAAAGGTTTCTCCGCCTTTTTCAGGATGAACTAGCCAGGCAGGTATTCTTTTTGGATCATGCTCTGTTCTTGTCTTCATCAAATGCTGTAACTCTCGCATGATCTGCTGATTCAATCCTCCACCAGCCAACGTAAATGTAACAAACCGAGGTGGTTCTGTTTCTGGTATTCTATCATCTCTGACGGCACATAAAATACTAGCAAATTTGCCTGCTCTTGTTCCTTGACCATGTCTTGCACCCACTACTACTAAATCGCATGTATCGACGAGGGAATCCAAATGAGTAGGCTTGTATTTTAGCCAATGTGAAGAACGTTGACTGAGCTTATACATCGAGCTAGGATCTTTGATCACAATTCCTTCTTCATGGTTCAGCAAGGCTTCTTCTAATGCTGTATTCACTTCTTCTTTTGTGCTGACATGTTTTCTTGTCACAAATCTCAAATGCATACCTTGTTCTTTCATCACAGTACTCAACACCTTGAGTCTGTCCTCCAATTTGTTGTCAACAAGAGGAGTATCATTAAACAGTAAGATATCAAACACAAGGTAACATGGATGTGGTTGAGTGGGATCATTGATATCTCTTGATTTAGAAGCATCTTTAAGTGTACCAAATGGAAGAAACTTTTGTTCAGTGGGGTCATAGGCCAACATCTCACCATCTAAAATCACTTTTTTGGCCTTGATGCCATGATGAATATGTCCAGAGAGCTTTGTCATGTCTCTGCTGGTTGCACCATACAAGTCATTTTCAGTCACTCGTTTTCTAATAAGCCATATGAGTAACGCTTTTTGTTTCTTTCTGCTTACCTTGAATGCCA